ACTTCTTCAGAGACATGTTTTTCAGCACAGGACATGAAAATGAACGATTACTTTGAAAAAATAAAATACAAACTGAGCAGGATGTTCAATATTTGCAAAATATTTGTTCCACATTAACAGAAGCTCTAGAAATATTAAAGCGTGTTTTACAAAGAGTACAGATCTCATGAGAAAAAACATGATCACAGTGTGAAATCCCAAAGAGCATATGCACAATACAAACCGCAGTCCCTACCTGTATAGAATGAAGCTTTACAAGAATACGTATTTATGTTCAAATAAAAAGATGGAGCACTTATACTGGATATCAAGTGTGTCTAAAACTAATCGGATTTTTGCCTAACTTGCTAGGAACCGTCCTCTTAAAAATATTATTTTTTATCAGAAACACAGTCTATTAAGCATTACACATCTGAGTGTTGGGACAGGGGGGAAAAAAAAAAAAAGGCATGGGGGTAGTTGAGGGGGCAGGGCAAACTTTTTGTCTGCCAGTTAACTATCATTACACCTTGTACTTCTCTCTGCCAAAAGCAAGCATGGTACAGAAGCTATCTTAGGAGATATATGGGCTTTGGAGAACAAAGTTTATACCAAAGAATAGTGACAAATTCTGAATATTCAATGATAATTCTATAGAACAATGGCTTCTAAATATATCCTATGCAGTTTCAGATATTTTAATGTTTCTCTGCATAACTAGACATTTTAAAAGAAAGCAAGTGATTTTGTCTGGGATGTGCACTCTGAAAATCATGTATGAATCTGTTGCATATTCAAAACTTATCTAAATTTGTTGCTTCATTCAGTATGCTGTTTATTAATTTTACTTCCAATACCATACTTGATTCTGCATCAATGATGCATTGTAGCTCCCATTGTGTAGCACCTGCCAACATACTCTCCATGTCGGTGTCAATTCACTGAATAGTAGTTTATTCTAAAAGTCTGTCGGTTTAAAGGAAGTTTACAGCTCAGAGCCTGCACAGGCCAAAGGACCCTGGGGAGATAAGGCATCATATCTGAGCCCAGAGGGAAGAGGTGTAATCCCTCCCTAACAGCAGCTCCCTACTCCGGCATAAGCAGAAAGGTGAGGCAACGCAGTCCAGTAGTTTAGTCAATGGGAGCAACTGCCAAAAGATGCTATGAGTTCTGCCATTACCCTGACTCAGCCAGAGGAAAAATAATCAAGTTTGCAATCAGATCCACTATGGTTTCAGTAGCACTTGCACAAATACTGAATATTTGAGCTACAGAGGTTAAGCCACTGCATTTTACTTTACATTTGTATGAACAAAGAGCACACGTGATCCATCTCTGCATATCAGCTAGACTGAATATTGTAACAATTCTCTTTTATTTCTGACCTCTGGTCCCCAACTCCCAACAGCACTGCTGCTAACAAAGCAAGAATAAAAGCAATATGCGGCACTTACTACATGAGTCACAAGCAAACTTTCCTGGGCCTAATCCAGCTAGAAGACAAGCAAGCGGTGGAAACTAATGCACTACATTCTAGATGACCAGTAAGGTCATAAATAAATTACACATTAAATGCAGAACATCTAGAATTCACCTAGCTCTTCACCTGGTTCTTATTTTAGTGAAGTAGTAGAAGGTTGGAATTAGCCCCTTTAGAATGAAACCAGGAGTCTATAGGTTCACAAATCAAAGACAGATGATTACTCCCACTGCTCAGCTTCAGGCACTGAAGCTGCTCTGCACTGCCCTGAAAAACAACCTGCTTCTCTCCATTGTTCATAGAAAGAATCAGGGCTTCTAACTGTGGGTGCTTTTAGTCACAACATCCCACCCCTGAAGTTCAGAAAAATGTTCTGCCATGAAGCACATGAAAGGCATGTGCTTCATCTTTAGAGATTAACATACTGGGTTTCTTTAAAGTGATACATGTAAGCATTGTCAGTTTAGAACTTAGATGCAGACTTTAAAAAAATCAAATCATTAAAAACATTGTGCCAACCAGACTAGGTTCCTAAAACCAGTTCCTAATATTGAAAAGGTCCAGTTGGATATTGCCTTTAAACACCAGCAAAGACGAGGAATAAGGAGATGGTGTTTTTCATACATAGTTAAAGCACAAATTGAGCAGGACGCACAAAAAAAATCTGCACCATCATTGCCATGCCGAACTTCACCATCTGCCACTAACAGGTTGTTACCATCAGCAGGGGGTGCCTCAACTAATACAGCTCAAATAAGATTAAAACACAGGATTAATTACCATTTAAAGACATTAAGTGATGCTAAAAAGATACCTTTGCTCCCTGCTTCATCAAGTGCATGATCATTTAACATGCAAATATAACTAGAATATCTCACCTGAACTTACCTCATTTGGAAAGCTGACAGCAGTTACTGCTTTTGCCAATCTAGATTCACCATTTAACAGAATGCCTGACAGTCTGATTTCCCCCCATTTATCCCTGACTTAAAAATCCCTAAGGAAAAGCCAGTTGAGCCACCTATAATGAACTATTCAAATTACTTAGGAGTTAATTGCCTCCAAGTTGAGTTATTAGCAGTCTAATGATACAGCTGTGTTTTAAGCAGAATGCCACTTCAGGTGCACAGTGACACTCCTTCAGTTCAGGTACCACAAGTTTTCCTTGCTCTGCTTCTCCATGCACAGCACTTACATCAAGCCTCAGCCAGGCTGAGCAAGCCTTTTCTAGTCCTTCTCTCGGTCAGCCTCTAGATCTAAGAAGACCCTGACTACCTGTCACCCGTATGTCACAGACAGTAATGCAGAGTTGTGCCATGCCAGTTAAATTCAAGGTTAAAAACAATTATTTTGAGTGAAATAACTGGAATTCCAAAACACACTGAAGGAACAGAAAATAATGGTTATTGTTTCCCCAGCTCTGAAGAGCAAGGTAAGCAAAACCTTGAAGTTGCCAAGTAATTCATCTTATGACAAAGCAAAGCTAAGTAGGCACTTGAACTGCACTGTGCAGCAGTCAGGGGACTCTGCTCTCTCTTCTCCCCATACAAGCTATGAAACAGAAGAGCTCCCTGACACACATCAAAAGCCAGATCTATACAAAGACAGATCTACCTTTCCACATACAAATGATGTGCCATTTCCTTAGTTCAAGCTATCTGATGTCCATTCCAGAGGGAACACTACCTTGGCAAATACAAACCCAGAACAATGTGTCTCAGAGGCTTAAGTTAAAAAAAAACAAAAAAAAAAAAAAAAAAAACAACAAAAAAAAACTAGGTTAGGCATCCAGGAAAACTTTTACTACCAGTGAAGTTTGTGCTGGAGAGAAAGACTAGAGTTTTATACTTTTATTATCAAATTTTCAAGACATCAGAACATGCACAAAATAAGACCAGTCCCTCCTGCAGAAGGTAAATTCAGTAACTAAGCCTTCTATACTGTAATTTCTATGTAGCTATAGCTGGTTTATAACATTCAGAATGCTTCAAATGTATTAGAACAGCATAGTGAGAAAAGCAGCATATCACCAAACTGAGGAGCAGAGTGAAGCATAATATACATTAATGACCCAAAATTAGGTTGCATATGACCACACATTTAGTCTCCCATCTCCACACACTCAGAAATTCAATGTTATTTACTGTAGTCCTCCTTACAGATGGAGAATATTAACTTTAGGTTTGTCATAGTAGGTTATTTAAATATCTAAGCATTTCTCTGCTATAGAAGGTTCCCATAGTATGAAAGAAGAAAGAAGCAGGATAAACTTAATGTAACAGGCATGAGAGTTAAAATGCATATTCTTCAGAAGGGGGAAAACTAGCTTTGTTTTACAGAAGATACACTGCAGGGAGAGGTGACAGGAGCTTTCTGTCAGCCTTGCTAGCTTGTCTTCTTCAGCAAGTAAGTGACTAAGAACCTGTCAGAATGTGCTTGATAAACGTTGTTCCCCTACCACTTTCACACTGTTAGCATTATCACCACTCAGCCTTTTAAAAAGATAGCATTGCATCAGAAGCAAGAAAACTGACAGAAATTATAGGTACTTCCAAACACCAAGCTTTTCAGAAATAAAAGGTTGTTTAAGTTCAAAATTAAATCAGTTGTTTGTATCTCAACATCTATGTTCCTACGTACTCAGATGTACTGTTGCATTTTATCTTTCTCTAAGGCGGTGCCAAGTTGGAAATATGAGCTTCGGTGAAACCATAATTAATAATCAGATTAAGAATTCCTAATTAGTATTTTTATCTCTCCATGCTTTATGCTTAGCATACCTAATTAGTTTGGCAAGTTACACAAAGTTGTTGGGTGAACACTGAAGTTTTTCAGGACTTGAGACCTTCAACGCTGCACTATAAAGGTCCTGTGCTCTGTTTGAAAGGCAGAGTCACCCACCAGTAAATTCTGTGGCAGAACATGCCAGGACTTCAGGGTTTTTGGAGCTTTATTAGAGAAATAGACAACAAACAATGAAAGAAAAACCTCACTTCAAATGCTATTCTCAGCAATTCACGAAAGAGACACCAGCAAGTGATTTTCAACTAACCAACCAGCCCACAAGCTTCTGTCACTCCAGGAGCTCAAGAAAAATTGTACTTGCACCCGCTAAAATGGCAACAGAACAATCTAGAGTAGGGGAAAGGACTAAAGCAAAGAACAACAATGCAAAAGAATGGTTAGGCACAGACTTTGCAGAGCAACTGCCAATTATGTACTTGAACAAGCACAGACCTAAAATTACAGCTCATATTGAATATTAAGCAGTTCAAATAAGTTAAAATATACTGTTTGAGTGAATTACTCATGTGGCATTCAGTCATGTCAGGTGAAGATACTCAATTCAACTGCAACCAAAATATACAGAAAAACTAGCTAAGATCTTACACATCAGCATCATATTGCTCTATCATTTAACAACTGCAGTCTTATCACATAAAAATGTTATTTCCCCCATAAAGAAATCTACTGCCTTGAATATTCTCTCCATTGCTAGTATTTCTTATTGTTAGTAGTATGTTAAATAATCTTCACATACCAGTTGTGAACCATCAGCTTCTGCACAGCCAATAGTGCATTATAACGAACTTGTTGGTCTTCATGATGCATGTGGTTCATTACCAGCTGTTTACCACCAAGTTGCTCGATCACTCTGAAAGAGAGGAGGGGAGCAGTTTATTTGACATTATTTCAGTTTCTGAGTGGCTATTCTACCCAACCACTTCATGTTCAAGGCATTAAGAGGTTAAGTTATTAAAATAAATATTATGCAACTTTGGAAATAAATACTTTCTAACATACACATCTTATTTGACATGTTGCAAATGCATATCTCTCATAATACATACTGAATTTTATTTTTTTTATTTAAGAATTCACAACATCAGAAAATGTTTGTACTGAACCGTTTGCTACCCACTACCTACTTCCATAAATTTTGAAATAGACAACAATCAAGGAAGGAGCCCTTTTCAGAGAGGGTTATTTGCCTAGCTTGCTAAAGAACTCAATATTGCTTTGAAAGGGTTAGCAGGGTACATTATTATTTAGGAGGAGGTAGTACCCTTCCCTCCATAAATTGAGGATAACCAGGTCACTCCATTTTTTTGCAAGAATAAAACCCCAATTCAGTCCAGCACTGCCTAATCCAGAAAAAAAATGCTTGTAATGACATCAACACCTATTAAAACACGCACCTGGGACTCCTCATAGTGCTTTTTGTACTAGAGTCACAGCTATTCTTGCACAAGATGCAGAACTGGCTGCTAAGTTACAATTTCTGGAAAAACTATATGCTTGAGCTGCATTCTTCACTACAAACTTCACCACAGTAATCAGCCATAGATAGCTTTTTTAATAGCTATATCAAACCCCACGCAAAATACTGATGAAACTTTGTATCACGTCATGAATATATCATTTTGTTTAAAAAATGGAAGGCAACACACTTAAAACCTGAAAAAGTGTCACTAACCAGATGACTCTACATGCAGTGTTTTGTTCTGTCATAACAAAGTAAGTTTAGAGAGAATTTGCAAGGAATATATAAACTGATTACTCACTGACTTGCACATGTTTTTTTACATTGGTTCTCTCACAGATCACTGAGTAGTTAAATACAATATCCTGTGAAGAGGCTATCATTTGCATTACTCTTAACCTGATGCTATCCTGCCACTCTAAACTTGCATTAGCTCTCTGCTTTTATTACTGCTCTTTTCATGGCCAAATGAATGCATTATTGCTGCACAACACAACACATTTTTGTAAAGTGCAGAACAGGTATAAAGATACAGCGTGGAGATGAAAAAGAGAATTTATCATTTTATTTTATGCCTCAGTCAAAAACAACCTGGAGAACACAGGGAATATTATTTCCCAACAACATTAAAGCATTTAAGGATGTTTCATACAACAGGAATGCATTCAGAAAAGTTCAATTGTTTTAATCTGTAAAATCCTTGCCAAGAATTCCAGAAGTTATTAGTAATGTAACAGATTCAAAAAAACCTTTATGCCTACCTTAGGCTGCCTCACATTTTTAATCATGAGTTAAATATAAAACCACTGCACACAGAGACAAGACTACAAAATACAAACAAGAATTCTTTCCTCATTATAGGACTTAAACATTGAATTTTCATGAATTGAAAGGAGGTAAAAAAGGCTTTATACTCAAATCTTCCTTATGCTAGGAACATGCAAGAATCAAAATGAAAAGTTAAAATCCTATAATCACAAAAGGTAATAAAGTATTTCAGATTAAATGCATCACTGAAATTACTGCTGAGAATATGAAGAATCAAAGAACAGCATTATCATTCTTGCATAACACTGCCGACTGGTACAAATTATTTCCCAGCCACATGTTTTAGACCAAAATGCAAGCAACTGTGAGGAAGGTTCACAGTGAATCCCATTCCTTTGAGTTCAAAACCTGCTCAAAACACTACTTGAAGTTCTGTTTTCCTTCTCCTCAACTTCTGCTTACTTTACAGCAGTAATAGAGCCCAGTGGGCCAGTTACAGTATGTGTACCTCTACTGCAGGGACTGTTCCCCACAGTAACACTGCACTAAGCCAACACAGTGGCAATTCAAACAAGTTTCTGGATTCTGAAGAGACAGATTTTAACATGACCCCTTTAAAGGGAGAAAAGAGGAAACAGAAGATGAAGGCTAAATGATCTTTCAGGTCCCTTCCAACCCAATCCATTCTGTGATTGTATGAAAACAAATGAGAGCAGTTTAGACTGTTATAGCAGAAAATATTAATATAAAATCCACGCTACAGATCTAGTATCCATAACCCTTGGGCCACATGGAAGTTGTACTGGAGGCTGATGGTTAGCCTGCATTTATTTTCAGTGACAGAAAAGACCAATGCTGTACTTTATTTCTGCTGTTATGTTGCCAGAAAATACATGTTGCTGAGGCTCATTAGAAGCCCACAGTGCTATTGCCTTGAGAATTTTGTCCAGAATGTGCAATTTTAAAGGCAACTTAAAATGATTTAGGCTGAAAAAATTAAAGAACAGCCAAGCAAAAATGTAGTATTTAGTTTAACAAACATTTTCTTTTGTCAGACAAAGGGAAAGGTTAAGTAGAACTGTAACTCAACATCTACAACCTTCAAAGGCTGAAGGACAATCTGGGTAAGAGTTGAGGATAAACACTTACAGAAAACAAAAATATTTAAGACATTTGAATTCTCTTATTCTTCTAAATCAATGAATAGCATCCATTCTCAAAGTGAGTCATACAATGAGAGTGTGAAATGCCAGCAGGGTGTGGGAGCAGTAAACAGCTATGTATCAAAAAACACCATGGTAAAAAATGGACTATTATGTGGGAACAGACACACAGTCCTTAGGCATTTTAAGATTTTAGTCCTAAAATTGCTGAAGTCATACTTAGTAAGAATACACTAGATTACAAAATAAATTCTTTAAAAGAAAGAATTTGAGGCATTTTAGTTTACTAAAGCTAAATAAGTCAAGTCCGAAAGCAGAAAGCAGCTAAAGTACTAGAATTTGACATAAGAATGTGGGTTAGAATAGTATTTAAGACACTTGTTATTTGTGGATGGCCACTCCTTTTGAAGGCTAACACACTTCTGAATAGGTTTAACAGCCTGAGAACTGAGTGGAGCTGTGGTCCCATCAGCAGTACATTTTCCAACTACAGAGATACAGGTCCTGTTTATCCACTCATCCGACTTCATAGCTTTGGTTCAGCAACTGCATGGCCATACTAGCCCAAGCATTATGCCACACTTGGGTAGATGTGTGCAATCTGTTTAAAGATTATGGCAAATGCCTAATAAAATGGTTTCAGACAAAGGACAACTCAAAGCAGGGGCAACCAGTATTAGTCCTTCAGTTTTGCCACTTTCAGGCAGCAGTATGAGCTTCCACCTTACTGGAGGATATCTTGCCTCCCCTTCAAATACCAGTTGTCATAAATCTCTTTTGGAAGGCACAGGAACTAATTAGTAAATATACAGTACTGCTCAGTACGAGTGGTACACACTGAGCACCTCTGACCTTTCTTAGTGGACCTAGAAAACAGTTAATTTGTTCCAATAATCTAAAAATATCTTCAGTTCAAGCTGCTTACAAGACTACAAAGGCTGTGAGCCTTTCTAGAGTGAATAAATCTTTTTCTAGCATATACATGGCATGAAGTTTCAGTCTGTTGTTTGTGATTCTACTACTGTCGAGATAGCACCCTGCACAGGAAGTGTTCACAAAATTCTCAACAAGCCTAGAAGACCATTCTCACCTTCCCCATTAAACCCTGTGCAGAAACCAGAAATAGACCATTTCTTTGCTGCAAAAATGAAGTCACATGTTCCTTTGGGTGACCGATGAGCATGGCTCCTGCAAAAATCAAAGTCCCCTTTCTGTCTCAGTGGTCCCTCTACCTTAGAGATGCAATTATTCAGCAAACATATCTTTGATCACATGCTTTTAAAACAAAACCAGCAAGAAAATATAGCAATGTCTGTCTGTATATTTTGACAGGAATTCGGGTTTACAATAAACATTAACACTTTCACTGAAATGTGTATTTGTGTAGTTAAATAAAACATGCTAAAATAGAAGACTGCTAATTGAATCTGTGCTAACATCACTGAAATTACAATAGCAATTGTTTGTGAGAAAAATCTTGTCTCGGTAGTCCTAAACCACAAAATAGACCTAATCATTGTTGAAACAGTCCATCCCTACTGTAAATCCAATAATTATAGTCCAGAAGTCATAACAAAGACTAAAAATGATATTCTGATTAAATTACTGGTAGCTTTTCTAATTTCTTCTGTTGCATGTCTTCTGCTTTAGTCTGAACAATTTATTTGAGGCTTCTTTAGACATAGATTCTCTTCACTGTTAAGAGACACTGAAATACATTAAATCAAAGGTCCAGTTTGTATTTTCTCATCTGATCTAGTTTGTGTTTTCTCACCTTCCCAGGGAATTAAACTTAAGTATAACCTGCAATCCCTATGTAGGGTATTTTAATATAAATAAGCAAAAAAGCCACAGGCAAAGTATATACTCTAGTTTATCTCGAGTAACAACAAATTGGTATTTTTCTTACCGTTTCCCACGGGGATAGTGTCGTACATATTCTCCCACATCATGAGCAGCTACAGCCAGCACTTGTGGGTCATCAGAAACCTCCAGAAGTTTTGTCAGGATTCTAGGAAAGGATTTGAAACAATAAAGTCCCAGGTTTCAGTTTGGGGTTTTGTTTTTGTTGGGTTTTATTTGTTGTTTTAAATCACTGGTAACTTAAAATAACAAAGCCTGTAGCCATAAAAATGCTTTACAAGTCACCCAAACAGCAAAGCTAGAATAGAACTTTTCCCAAAAGTGCAGTGGCACGTAAAACAATGGAGATCCTGTCTTATTTAACAAAATTATTAAAAGCATTCACTAGAGTGAGTTTAGTGATCCACATCTACAAATACCTATAACCAAGGTTTACAAAGTATCTCCTTTTTTATACCCTGGCTTCCAGACCAACAGTTTTGAGTTCAAGATAAGCTGTACTAACCAAACATATAAATATTAATAGACTAGGACAAGGGTGGGACACAAACATAAAGCTTACACAAGGCCAACAGATGTTGCTGTTTCTGTTATACAACAGACCCCAGTCTTGCTTGCATGCTGTTCCCAGCTCCCACAGCCAGGATTCTGCTCTATGGATTCAGAAACCAATAAGGCCATGTTGCTTGTGACACAGCAAGGGGGGTATGACAAGCCTGCTGTCTATCAGCCTTTCCCCAACTCTGTTCCTCCCCTCACCTAACAACAGTTGCCTTGCTCAATGCAGGCTAGAAGGACAAAAAGGGCAGAATTTTATGCAGAACACTGTTACACATAGTCATTGAAAAACTAAAAGGCATCCTAGCAGTTGAGAACAAAGCAGCACACCAAGTTCTTTGGTGTGTTCAACTCTGAACTTTGCCTGGGTTCATGACCAACCAACTTTATCTAAAAAACATCACTCATTCAAATCAGCTGTTGTGGTTGAAAAAACAGTTCTGTCCAAACTCAAAGACTAAGATGATGAAAGCTGTATCTTGTAAATGACTCTAATTTCACATATTAGTTACTTTGTTAGCAGGAACAGAAATACAGAGCTGTAAGAGTTAGAAAGCAGTTTCTCAACTCTTAATTCAAAAGCGCAGACAATATTAAGTAGTTTAATCAGTTTTAGTGGAAAACAGCTGCCAGTAACACTGCTCTCTAGTCAGTAATGAGGAAGGGGAAAAAAATTATTAGTGCATAACCTTCATATCTGTGTCATAAGTTTAAAGGGTTAAATATACAGGTCGTGAGAAAATTAAATTCATCTAAACTTAGTGAGACGCCAAACATGTTCTAATCACAGGAAATTAGTAACAAGTTGAAACAGTTAAATGAATTAAAAATTCAATTGGAATTAAAAAAACTAACATTCTGGTAAAATTAAATTACCACAGCCACTGCCTCCCTAAAGGCCAGAAAGCCCACCCCATTAATGGAGGGCTAGTTGGTTTTTTGCTTGGTTATCAGAGGGGGTTTTTTTAAAGGAACTACTGCAGATCACTGTCTTTGTGGCACCACAAGTACAATAAATTTACCTAACAGTCCCAGAATCAGAAGAGATGAATACAGCAAAACATTGCAATTGCTACAGGAAATACTAAGCCTCAACATCAACTTCATGTCACAATTGGCAGCATCTAAAATTTTTAATTCTATAATCCTACGTTTTTAGCAATATTCCTCAGGGACAAATTTGTCAAGCTTGTTTTGGTGATGGTTCAGGGCAGACTACAATGCACGTAAAGCTCAGAACCAGCTTGTTCATGCTCCACCTGAGCTCCTGATTTCTGTTACATCTGACACTTGTGAGCAAATACTGAACAGGAAGAACACTACATATTATCAATTAATGACAATGCAGTTAAACAACTAAGAGCTGCTACAAGCTATTTAAGACATAGACATCTTCTCAGTACATACTTTCAGAAGCTAGCAAATAAGTCCTTGAGTCCAAAAGGAAAGATGAGCTTCAGCTTCACTTCACCTAACCATCTATGTACACCAAAACACAGTCCAAAGACTGCAAAATAATGCAGCAAGTCAGATTTTCCATGGAAAAGTACACAACTTTCAGCCCCCAGGTATTCAAGACAGGAGTTTCATTACTCAGATCAACACCACCACACAAACACAAAACAAAGACTAAGGTATGGGTAAAAACATGCTTAATTATATCAATTAGTATAGCTGTTTTTCAAGTGAAAGCATGAAAAGAGTCAATGGCACAAATTTGCATGCAAGTTAAACAAGAGATATTCCCTCTATAATCATCAATACATTCTGACCAGTAAAAGCAAATAAACAATTTTGCATTTGAACAAAATGAACCGTACATGAGTAAGGACCATACATTCTAAAAGTATCAAGATATTCTGACTTGGTTTTGCTCTAGACATTACTTCGTGTTGAAATGTAAAACCTGTATTAGATACATGTTCAGTTAAACACAGAAAGTATTAAAGAATTATGTGATTCAAGACCTGAAAACTTACTTGAGTAGTTCATAATTCTTCTCATTTAGTCTTACAGCATTCTCCCGCCAAAACTTCTCAGACTTGTGTACAGGACTCCACTCCAGTCTTCCTGACTTGAGCTCAGAACTGTACTCATCAAAGGAGCTGCAACACAAATGACCTAAATGAAATACTGCCTAAGGTTCAATGAACAGAGTTGAAGGGCACGCCCAAGTCTGTCCCTAGCAAGACAAAGCTAGAGCACAACTTGCTGTGACACATTTGGAAGTCAGCTCTCTGAAGAGCTTGAGAGCTGTTCCTCATCTCAGAGTTCAACGCTTTAAAAATAAGGAAAGGCATGAAAGGTAAGATAAAAATTTGTTTTCAGACAGACCCCTCCATCCACCCCAAAACACAATTATTGAAGACAAAAAAAAAAAAGGAGGAAAAACCCAAGCCACACAACCACTGCATCTGGGAATTTTATTGGCTGTTTTTCCTGTTTTCTAGGTTTTAACTTCCCGAACCAAGAATCCCAGTCCCTGCCTTTCATCCAATTAAACCTTTGAGATGGACTACAATATGCAGTTCAATTTATACACAAGAGCAAGAACTAGCTAAATACTAGCAAAATCTTGAGTTAATCTGAACAGCAAAATGTAATCTAACTGGGTAGTCTTCAACTTAAACTGGAACCTATAAGATCCCTCTGAAGCCCTTCAACAATTTATCAGTTACAAAGATCGCATATCCAAAAGTGAAGATTTACTTTCTGTTCAGCATGTAAATACTCACTTAGAATAGGAAACTTTTATATATAACCAGCACCTTTGTATATTCTATCTTATCAACTAACATTTAAGTATCATAATTCTGTATATTATTTAGCCTTCAAAAAGAAAAAAGTTTTACCAATGTTCATATACTTGCATTTATTTAAAGTTCACACTATAAAACATACCTAAGGTCCTGCACGCTTTCACCAAGCTTGTCCAGCAGAAATTTGATATCTTCACTTATGTCTTCATCATCATATTTCTGCTGATCCAAATTCTCTAGTTGTTTTAAAACTTTACACTGAATCATGGCAAGAGCATATTCTTGGCGAGTTTCTCTCTCCGTAGATTTCTCTAAAAAATTCTAGGAAAGTTAAAATGTATTTATTTTGTTTGTTTTAAGAACAGACTACTTTGTTTCAAAGTGGTATGTTTAAGAAATTCTGAAATTCTTAAATTCTTAAGTGATAGAATTGACCAATTCCTGAAATAATCTCTCCACAGAAGTAAAGTACACAGTGGCTGCTTTACATATACCTTTAGTAGCATAAATTGCCTAGGACTGACCTTTCTACAAGAGTAGTATTCATACATACCACTACAGCAGATGAAGGGGAACTTAAAAAAAAAAAGGCTTTGTCTTGCAAGGTCAAAGTAATGCAATCGTATGTACTGAAAAGCACAACCACCACTATATTCAAGTTTAGGTCACTTTTTAGGTTACTTTTTTTAGGTCACAACTACTTTTATCTGGGATTATCATTTTAGCTTTCTGTGCAGTAATAGTATTAAACAGGAAAGCCTTAAAAAAAAAAAAAAAAAAAAAGACCAACACACAAGGAAAAAAAACACCATGAAACAAAAACAACCTAAAGTCATTTTTCCAACTCATGAGTTACCATCTGGATAAAATCAACTTCTTTTGAATTTGGAAATATTCCAACTAGACATTTTTGTTCAAACAAAAGCTTGTTGGTAAGACTGGAATTACAAGCACAGAATGTAATAGTCAAGTTCCAACATCATTTATTCATTACATTTCTACTCAATTTAATCAGCTTCAAATTATGTTGTTCAGAGCTAGCCACCTGCACTTTCTGATAAAGCTGAAAACATGAACTCCATATAAAAGACAAAGTCCTGAAGCAGAACATGTGTTCATATAAATAGCCTTAACATCTACCAGAAATATGCAATGAAACCATATAGAAGGAATTCGACTGCATCACTGTTATTCATGTCACAGAACCATTACACCCAGGGTTTCTAAGATACCAGTCATCATATTAGATAGTAAGGCAGAACACTGTAAATAAATGTTAAAACACGCATAGTGAAAATAAGTCATATTACTGCTTTTAATGGCTACATACAATTAGCTTTAATATGCAAAAAAACTCCATTTCTATTTCAGTATAAGAACTGAACAATTAGCTTTCATGAACATAAATTGACACTCTCACAGTGAAAACATCAAGCCTCAGTTATTCCAGATTACCTTATATAGGACCAGTGATTTTCAGGTAATGTGGACACAGTAAGTCAACTACCGACTCTTACATGGATATTCTTATTCACCTTGACAGAGCCACCAAGAGAAGATTTTTGGACTAGTAGATAAAAATAATTTCTAAATCAGCCAGCTGGACAAACATATGTGTGTTTAAAATAATATTTTTAAATTAAAGCTTCATCAGGCAAAATTTAACAGTAACTACAGCGTTTTACACTGGTACCAGTAGAAAAAATAATCCTGAACTAAAGAAGGAAGATCACTAGTGCCTGTGTTAACACAGCTTTTTTTTTTAGTCAACCTTATTTTAAGACAACATTGAATAACAGACATCTATTACTTGTAATAGTATGTCTATTACCTGTAGCAAAACTCAGTTCACAAAAGATAAAAAAAAAAAAAAAAAAAAAAAGAGAATTAAGTTTTCAATCCAGTTTACTAATACAGTTTTGCAGAAACAGCTATGCATCAGCAACATTTGAGACCTACTCATTTGAGAGAGAAGCACAGTGCGACTACAGTCAACAAACACTTACCCGAAATGCTGCAAGGATGATTCTCGTTACTTTCTCCTTGACAGATTCTTGAAGAATATCCGACAGCACTGGAACAATATTATACCGACGGAGATATTCACACATTTGAGGGCTAAATGCCAGCAGCCACACACAGAAAATCATCTGATACTGGAGCTGGAAGCCACATTTGTTGCTTAAGACCCCCATGATACTGAAAAATCAATACAGTATATATTTAATTTTTAAATAATGACTTCATAGATCGCATTGATCCACCCAAAAACATTAAAAGAAATGGTTAACAGGAACTTATTGGAAAGAGCTGTTGAGAATGAGTATACAACACATGCTTCACAGTATGCTGCACCAGTATTTATCATTGTACAAGCAGCCTGTTCAGAAAGTCATCTTTTAAAGATACTGTTATTTGCTCCTTAGCCTTGTGTCCTGCTTTGGGCTAGAATAGAGTTAATGTTCCTTTTTGGTAACTAGAATAGTGCTGTGTTTTGGATTTAGCATTGCGTTTGGTATGAGAAGAATGCTGATAGCACACTGATGTTTTCAGCTGCTACGGAGATTTCAAGGACTGATTCCCCACATCCTGCCCGTGCACAAGAAGCAGGGAGGGAGCACGGTCAGAGCACCAGACCCAAATTGGCCAATGAAATATTCCATATCATGGAACGTCATGCTCACTATATAGAGGAGGGGTGGTCGGGATGGGGGGCTCTCTCTCTTGCTTCCAGGATCTTGGTGTTTCGGGATCGCTAACCGTGGGTATTGGTCAGCGGGTGGTGAGCAATTGCATTGTGCATTGCCCGTTTATATTTTCTATTACTGTCATTGTTCTTGTTTTATTACCATTATTAAACTGTTTCTATCTCAACCTGCGAGTCTCCCTTTACCCCTCCAATTCCCTCCCCCATTCCCAGGTGTGTGGGGGGGAAGGGTGAGTGAGTGGCTGTGTGGTGGTTGGCTGCCGACCAGGCTCAAACCATGACATTTACAGCCATAAGGAGTTTTTCCCATGTGAACTGATGTGGTACTGTACCAAGACTCTTTCTACTGTCATGTTTAGAGCATCATTTGTCATTCTAGGCAAAAGATAAACATATAGCTAGTCCCTCAGAGTCAAGAAAGAGAAGGAGTAAACCAACAGAACAAAATCTACAAAAATTGAACTTGTTCCCTTAATTGTATCTCTCCATGAGAGTGTCTGAAATGAGCTGAAGTAGTCATTACTTACCAGGTGAGTTCCCAGAAAACAGCCTATAGATATAACACATCACAGAAATACAAAGCATTGCTAGAGAAAAAATAATATCACAAGATTTCCAAGAACAAATCACACAGAAGCTCTGCTCAGCTGAAGTTTTGAAAATTTAATAAGCAATTTACAGATCTAATCCAAAAAAACCTAAACCAATTAAAAAAAAAAATCTACTTTCAAAATCATTGCTATCAAAATTAAGACAAATTCAAACTTGTTGAAATGCAGGCTTATTGTAATGATTTAATAGTTTATTAAAAAGCTTCCTGGGTGAAAAAGTTTGTCAAGATGACACTATTGAAACATATGTGAACATCTTTTGAACTTTCACTTCACTAGCAACTTTGACTCTTCTCCATTTCAGAATACAGGGATATTTTTTCTTGAAGTGCAAATTGTACAGCCACCATCCCCAATAAAGGCATGCATGGCAGAAAAATTATTTACAGACAAACATTTTTTAAATAATGAGTGACAACACCCTAGCCTCATGCAGAGCTATTTATGAAGAGAATCTGAATAAAAGAACAACCTACTTGAAGCCTTATGCGGGGAAAAAAAAAGTTGAGCTTAGGCTCTAGAACATGTTTGTCCTTTCACTAATATTTTCAGACTGAACAACTCCAAACTGAAAGACAAGGAAGATTAGAAGAAACTCATTTCATTAGTCCTTGTTCTACTGAATAAAAAACAGAGCATCTTCAGCTGAAGATAAATGGCTATATTCCCCTTCAGATACTTAAGCGCGTCTTCATGAAGAGTAAAGTGACATTAAAGCTTAACACTGGTACCTATATCTGCAAGTTTCATTTGTCTATCCAACTGTATTAATGTTTGAAAACAAATAGGGTTTGTACTCAGAGCAGTCTTTTGCAAGAGAGTTCTATTCCAAAAGAGGACAATAGGGAACATGCTATTCTAAGTGCAAGAATATCCACATAAATTGAAATAAATGCTCACCAGTTTACTCCATCTGCTTCTACCCATGCAAAGCGATATTCATTGACCCTGAGCATCAGCTGCAGACATCCAGCAACACATTGTACATATTGGGAACTCTGGGTGAAAAGAAGAACACGTCACTTCTTACAAGAAGAGTTAGGTAGTAAGTGCTGAAGTTCAGTTTTCCAAACTAGGCTTTATTGGCATACTTCAACACACATTTCTTCAGTGACAGTTCCAAGTTAAACCGGCTCACTCTTATAATGATTTATATCCCCCTATTTAAAAAAAAAAAAAAAAATCTCTCATGAAAAGGTGGGAAGCAAAGTAAAAATGGAGAAGAGTTTTGAATAGGAAGCGTTATGCAAGTGATACCATTTTACATCACCCTAACAGATTTTTATAAACCCATTTGAACATGCTTTCTTCCAGTATCTATGAATGAAGGCTGTCTTTCATTTGATTATACTGCCAGAGCCCTTTCATCCCCAGAGTCAACTGTTATTTCATTGAGCAAACTTTGGGAAATAAACCAGCAAACTGGTTACCAAGCTTGAAGAAGCTTGCTAGAGGTCATTGTAGAAAAAGGAATCTCGAGCTCTGGTTCTTCCCACTCCCATTCTCCAATTCAAAATAGGTGCCGTTACGATTGTATATTTTCCTACGCATGAGCCAAACAGGAGGTACCCTGCTTATTATAATTAGATGCATATTTATACAAAAAAATACCATTAGAAAAATAAGTATGCAAAATCATCCTCAAAGTTTAGCTTTGCATTTTATTTTTTTCCTTGCATTTTAATTTTTTCTTCTTTTCATTAAAAGCTTAGCACAGAAAAGAGTAAGACGACTAAAACTTTCTCATCAGGAAAACAGAGATGCACCACTGAATTCTATTTTCATTCAGACTCCTATATGAACAGTCACAAAGACGGAATCATTAAAAAGCTTTTCATCTCTAAAATTATATATTTTCTGTGTAGTAACACATAAGATGGGCTGCAGTTCAAAAATTAGTTTTGGTCAACACATCATCCCTCCCACTACAGCAACAGAAAGATCCCAAGGTACAACAGAAGATGCATTTTTTTCTCTCTTGTTCAATTTCTGGCACTATCTTCACTAATACTCAGATACACTGCTGATAAAATGTTGGGCTTTTTTTCCCATAAGCCTTTTGCTTTACTAAATGTCTTGAAAGGTTTATGGTAGATCACTCACGTAATACAAGGGCAAGCCCTTCAAACATTTAACGGAGTAAAGAAGTTAGGCAGTCCCATATGAAGAAAAAAGAATAGCCAATAAACAGAATTTAAAATAAAGATTAATTCATTCTGTGTCTCTCAGAGTTTAAGACCTTTATGTAAAAAATGAGTCTGAACAACTAGGCCTAAATCATCATACAGAACATTCATTTCCCTGGGTAGGTATTCACTCTCACCCACCATGTAAATAAAACAGCTATACACACATACAGCCCTCCCACCCTGAATAATGTATTAATTTATCTGCATCACTAACCTGTGTACTACTGAACTTGGAGGATTTTTTTTTAAAGAGTGTGTCATAAAAGCATTCTCTTCCAACACTATTAGAATTGAAATGTCATAATAGATCCCAACCCTCATTTCCTGTGTAACACGCCACAGCTGTATCTCTAATTTAGTCTGAAATAAATTAGTCAGGACCTCCTTGGAAATTCTGCGCAAGCTAGATCTGAAATCAGAACCCTAACAAAGTCAATACAACACTCACCCAATTTAATTATCCTAAAACATATCTGCACTATCAGTTCTGCTGCTTTGGGACCCTGCAATGGTACAGCAGATCCATGCAGTGCTACAGTACAATGAATACATATTTCTAAGCAAGTTAGAAGAGCTCACAGCTCCATAATGAGTGGCATTGTGTGCTGTAGAACTATTAACTCTTTTAAGGCTGTATGACTGAGAGCTCTGAGCCTAACAAAACCTAACAGTATGGCACACAGAACTGCACATGAAATACTGAAATACTTGAACTTTTATGCTCAGGCCATAATTTTACCCACTATCCATGATCATGCATAACAGTCTTTCATCTTTTCTATTTTGAACCCCAGTCAGGTGGTAATTTAAGAGGCTTATCTCTACAGGAAGCTAACACTTTAAAGTGATGACTACATTTAGAAGAAAAACAGACTGCAGGTTCATATTTAAGTCTTCTGAAAAACTGTAAACACTTTCAGGTTGCAAAAGGAACAAAAGACCAAACTGAATTCTACTCTGCATTCAAAAGCTACAATAAACCCCCTCATTGTGCCACAACAAAGTAGAAAATCCAGTTATGATGATCACTTGCATTTGCTATACTGCTGCAGTTCATCTCCAAGCTCAGCAGCCATTATAGCTACATGAAATTCAGTATAAATAAATACTGATGCAAAAAAGACAATCCATTTTCTCCTGAATTCATGCCATTCAAATAGGAAAAGCTTAGAGTTTTGAAAGCACTCTTGTAATTCCTTGCTACAGAGGCTGAGGGGCAATGTTATCTTCAATATCTGATGTGCCCTTTCTCAGTTCTGCACGTCACAAGAGCCAAAAGCTTCTTAGTCTCAGGTTTCTTCTACAAGTCTGACAGTTCAGTGCTAAACAGACAGTACTGTTCAAATATTAAATTAATTGCATATGATTTTTTTCAAGTTTTAACAAAGAGGATGCATCTACAGTTTTAATAACACAAAGCAACTTGTAAAATATATACTTCTACTGCCAGCATTTTCTCTGAAATCAGTGTTTTAAAATACTTTTGTTTCTTGGCGCCATCACCTGGCACTCTTGTTGTCGTTCAGTTCTGATTCCAAGTATCTTCTGTTACTGACACCAGTAACAGAAAGCTTGGCACCTTAATCTGAGGAGGGGGTATCGCCCACCCAAAATTGCAAATTGAGAGATTTCAAAGAAATACTCACATCACTTGTGGAGACTGATCCTGCTTCCACAGAACCTCCTGTCCCACGTAGTTTCTAGCAAAAAAAAAAAGTTTAAAATCAGAGCTGTCTTTAACGCTTACAGAACAGTTGTTAACAAGTTTCTTTCAATTCTCCAATATCTCTAATCATAAAAAGATTAAGAATCTATGAGATACTTTTCCTGCTCAATATATTATGATAATATGTTGTGTTTATTTCCCACACACACCGTGTCTAGAAGAATATGCCTGGAGCTGATCCTAGTCTATCAAGATTTAGTTTTTACTTTTTTTTTTTTTTTTTAAGTGTGGATTTACTCAAGACTTTTATCCACATCAATCTCTCTGAATGAAATTCCAACTGTAAGATTCTTCTTCAGAGAAAAAAAATAAAACTCCTCTTTAATAAGCCCAGTTTGGAAAATTATGAAAAAATATACCATTACTAAACCTAACTGAATGTTTCTCTGCTCTCCAGAATCCACTTCTGCTACAACACTACCTTAGAGAAAGACAAATCACTGGGTTTTGATAAGGATTGAAGGAAAAATCTCCAAAAACGAATACAAAGAAGAACAATTCATCTTTGAAGGACAAGCCAGCAGTAAGCAGTTCATACTGAGCTAATGCCATAAAAATACTGTCCAAGTAAGTCAGGATTTATTTCATTTCAAGAGACAGGACTAAAAATAAAAGCTCTGTACTACAGTAAACTGGAAAAAAGTTTTGATATTCACTTCCTGCTGCCATGTGATTTTTCTTCCCAGCAAAAAGCTCTTGGAAACAAAACTGTACAGGAAGACAAAAAACCTTCATCACATGTTTTCCCGGTGTCCAGAAGTAAAATCAATGTTAATCAACAGAAAAGGCAAAAAGCCTTATTTTTTATTTTTAATTTACATTTCAAGGACTAAAGTAGAAAATGTTACATTAAAAACTATGTGTTTGAATAAAGAGTATTTAGCTGAAAAATGACAAAGCAACATTCCATTTAAAAAAATAAGAAAACCAAAAATATATCTCTTTTTTGCACATCTGTATTTTTATATTCTTGAAAAAAGTCACTGTAATGTTTAAACAGATTAGCATTTTACCTGTGAACTGAGTTGAGTTTTAATCCAGTTGAAGTAGTAATTCAAGTCACTGCCTTCCATAAGTTCCCTCCCCCATGCAGCCAGTTTGGCAATAATTCTTGCTGCCTGAAAAATAATTCAATAAACAGTTTTCAAATGTAGCAATTTCAGGATTCAGTGAGAAGTCCTGTAAGCTCTGGAAAGCAAGTTTAGGTAAAAGATGGCCCTTTCCAGAAACCTACCTGTTTTCTCTGGGACTCTTCAGGCCCAGTAATTTTGTTTCTTCAGCTTTCTGCTGCTTCTACTTCACAGTAACTGGTATATTTTCACAATGTTACCAGATACCTGTAGCTGATGAAGTTCACAAGGCACCAAGAAAAAAACTGAGAAGGAGGTGGAGGGGAGCTCCCAATGGGCTACTGCTGTAGGACACCATTACAGTCAGAAATCCATTGACAGTGAGACACCTAATGGCCTAACACATACATGAGCAGGCTTACTTTAAGCAACTAGATCATATGGCAACACAAATGACTGCAAAGTGTTAAAAGTTTTTTCTACTTGAACTGAAGCAAGTCATCTTCAAGAAGGAAGAAGTTTCAAGCCCAGAAAAAAACAAAAGGGAAGGTAGAATTTAAGAATTCAGTTGAAGAGTAAAAATGTAGTGAGGTTTTTCCACAATGCCTATGGCACAAGAATACATATAACAAGAGTATATTTTTATGCCAGCCTTTCCAAATTATGTTTGAAGTAACTCTATATTGGAGCCTGCAACTTCTTTGAAGAAACGTTGGAGCCAGCTTATATATAAAGAGGCAGTCTAACCAAGAAACTACTGAAGTAGGGGTTCATTTGCAAGCACGCAGCTCTTTGACACAGTGAGGAGACTGTTCCTGGCACTTCTCCACCAAGCTGCCCTCAGGCGTAAAGCAGCACCACCACTGATTTATAGAGGGATTACAATTGAGAGTCTGGAACAGCGATCTCTACACCGGAGTGCATCACATCCACTTCTGAACGCAGCCAAGTAACTCTATAAAATCCCCTCAGCTTTAAAACATGAGATATTAGATCTCTACCTTACCATGCTCCCGAGTTAAAACTGCTATTTGGCCCCTTAATGGGAGACCATTCATGCCTAGCAGAATTTGAGCCTGGACACAGAGGACAAGTATTTTTTCTGTCTATGCATTTGCACTGAGGTGGCATCACAAGTCTTCAGTGTGCATATTAAGGAGAGGGGAAAAAAAACACTAAAATGAAAAAAAATTACAACACAAACCTAAGACTTTGTTTTGTGCTTAAGAAAAAAAAATATATATATGCACAAAGAGAACTAAAAGGCATAAGGGAGCAAACTTGGTGTTTTAAAGTGGATTCACATAACATGAGGTTCTCTCCATGACTTGTGAAGTTATTTGTATATTTTTGCACTACCTGAAGAAAACAATATCTGAATAACATCTCACAGGAGCAGAGAAATACTGCACATAGAAATTTTTATACTAGGCATTTGAGAGCCACCATTCCAAGGAGAATAATTCATTTGCACTGCAAGGGTCTAAAAATTAAATTGACTTGTATATTTGAGAAGTCAACATTGTCTGAGCTTGCTCAGACTGCAGTTTTGCAAGGTGGATCTTCAGCAGCAATACCACCAAAAAAAAAAAAAAAACCAAAACCCCAAAAATTAAACTTCACCAACCAAAAAAATCCCAACAGTTTCCTTCTTTAGCTGTACCAAGTAAAAAAAAAAATAAAAATAAAATAATCAAGCCTGACATTTTACTTGAAAACAAGCCAGTTCACTGTTCAAGTTGCAGCACAGCCCCCAAAAGAGTAGCACTGGCCACACCTAAGGGCAAACAGCATGACTTGCCTGGAATTCCTTGCGCCAGTACTACCACCACACTGTAAGGCAGGCCTGGTATGTGGTTTTGTAGTTTGAGTCACTGATTTGATTCTACCATACCATGCCAGCATAAACATATGCAGTGAAAAACGATTCACAGCCATGAAGTTTTCTCCTTCTTCAAGCCATAATACAAGTTTTATTGGAGGAAACTATGATCTCCACTAGGTACTTACAGTACTACAACCATATTTTTTCCCCCCACGAGAAAGAAAACTACTGAGATTAAATGGCCACTTCTCACCACAAATGACAGAATATTAAGAATTCCAGAAAAGTTACTCCATATACACTAGCAGCACCCTGTAGCTCAAAGCACAGCAGATACCATACAACACACACGGTTGTACTGGGTTTGGCTGGGATGGACTTAATTTTCTTCACAGCAGCCCACATGATGCTGTGGTTTGCACTGGTGACCAAAACTGTGTTGACAGTATACCAATGTTCTAGCTGTTGCCAAGCAGTGCTTGCACAACATCAATGACTTCTCTGTTTCTCACTCTACACTTCCAGTGAGTAAGCTGGGTGGAGGGGCCAAGAGGCTGAGAGGGGACACAGCCAGAAGAGCTGACCAGAACAATATACTGGCTGAGCATCACTCTGCTGGTGTTGTGTGACTGCTTTTGCATAGCTTATTTTTGTTGGATTTGTTTTGGGTTCCACCCCCTTTCTCTTTTTTCCCCTCTTCACTCATTAAAGTATCTTTATCTTGACCCAAAAGTTTTCTCACTTTTGCCTTCCCGATTTTCTCCACAATCCCACTGTGGGGGACTGTGCAAGCAACTGGGTGGGAGCCTTCCTGTCAGCCAGGGTCAACGTGCCACAACAGCAGACATTATTTCTTCTCTTGTATGCTTACAAACCATTTTAAGCAGATTTCAAGCAGCACTGTAGCAGTTTGATTATATGAGAGAATAAGGTAAAGATATTCACCATTCACAGGATGAGAACCTAAGTTCTAGCATTTATACAGCATGAGGAGCATTAACTGGTAGTTGTGACAAAAGTCAGGTTTCTAGTTATGTCTTACTGTGCTTAATTCTAAAATTCTTGCTTTTCTGAGCCTTTAAAACCTTCTCTAATCTCCTGGAAAAAACAATGTCAATAAACAGTGTAACTTTTCTTTCTGAAGTGTGGTCAAGTGAAGCTTGTATTAAGTATGACTCATCTAGACTGCAAGAGGAAAGCTTTCCAGTTCAATCCTCAAACTCCAAAATCTCCTAAAGAAAAATAAAACCAGCATTTCTCTCTACCATCTTCAGAGACAGGTTCATTTAAAACTTACCATATGCACAGTGAAAAGATCTTGTCGATTCAACATCGGCAGAAAATAGGACCATGCAGTGTTTTTACCACGTTTTGCATAATCAAAGAAGATACAAACGCGCTGATGATTTTCCTGTAAAAATTGGGAGAGGGGAAAAGATGAGAGACTTGTAAAAGCATTCAACATAAAGCCGTTATTTGCTCCTCATTATGCTGGCATATATTATCAGTGTACCCTGGCTTGTAAGAGCCAACGGAAATGAGGGTTGGAACTAGATGATCTTTAAGGTCCCTTCCAAACCAAACCATTCTATGAACCTATGAAATTTTTCAGTTTGAGATGCTTGTGGATACAGTTCATTTCAGCACTCCAACATTAAGGTTAGAGATTTGGGGCAGAGAGAAACAAGCTTTGCAATCCTAGTTGTATCTCAGTCCTCCAACAGCTGCGTGATATATCCTTTTGATCAAGCAAGCAGAATGAAATGAGAGACAAGCTCAATAGTCATTTTCCAGAGGAACACTACTCCTCATTCAATCAATTATGCTTGAATAAAGTCCATACAAGGTTTTCCATGTATTGCTACTTCCACACAAAAGCCTGTTGTTCAACTCGGCTGAGTGTGCTACAATTGAAGCTTTGGAGGCACAAACTAGTCCTGCCTCTCCAAGGGAAGCAAGCTCTTCTCTCCCAGACGAGGCTGCAACTGATTCAGCTGTTCTCTCAGGCAATCTGCATACCTAGGAGAGGACATAGCCACCAAGTCTGTTCAGGGTTTCTGGGCTGAACTACAAGAGACCACAAGCCTGAGCACTGTGCACAGTTTCTTCAAGCATTTCACCTAATAACCACTGTGAAAAGCAGCGACTCTGGTTCTCGTTAAAGCAGACCAGAAAGGAGGCCACGCAAACCTGAAGGAGAAAGAAGAGCTCTCCTATTTTTTAATAGCCTAGAATATAGTCAGTCTTCCAGAAAATCAAATAACTGGATTCTTGCTTTTCCTCAGCATTTCCATATACTTTCTGGCCCAGTGGATAGTAAGCTTCCATTCTAGAGATAACTCCCCACTGAAGTCAAGACTAAGTATAACTAAGTATACAACTAAGTATACAATTCCTATCAAGGAAGGCAAAACTGTTTGAAATGCTGTAATTGGGAAACTTGTATGAGAACAGTATCTCAGACTAAAGTAAAATAAGCCTATTTCTTTAGCTTGGTGTCTGTGTCCTTTGTGTTAACCCCGTCAATTGGCAGAACAAATTTGGCATCACGGAAAGGCAGAACAAATTTGGCATCACGGAAAGGATAAGAAGAAAATGACAGAATGTCATTTTTTAAATCTAAACGTAATGAAACAGCTCCATCTGAAATTCCTGGATGGGAAGACCTTCCCTATAGTTCACTGGCTCTTGAGTGGGCTAAGGTTGGAGGACCATGTGAACAGTGGGAAAGTTGGCTAAAAGAAGATGAACCATTGGATGTATTAAAATGTATCCAAAAATTATCTATCGAAAAAGGAAAAGAAATTGTGTGTTCTGGAAGATGGGGATGGGTTTTGTTAACAGCATATCGGAAACAGCCCCAACACAAAGAAAAACTGTTGTTAGAACGCTCCCACATGGAGCGACAGATGTGTGAGTTGCAGAGTCAAATTGTAATGTTACAGTGTCAAAAAAAGTTGCTTGCCGATAAGTTGGATCCTTATCAGACTGTCGCTGAAAGAGCTGCAGTAAGAGTTGCACAGTATAAGTATAAGAAAAGAAGGGGACGAGTAAACCATAGGAAAGTGCATGCTGTGATTGCAGAAGGAGGGGTACAGTGGGATCCTAACAGATGGGATGGAGATATTTGGGATTCTACAGGTTCTGATGAGGCTGGTTCCTCAGATGAACCTGTGGATGTAAAACCAGTGTGGAGACGGAAAATAGAATTGGACTCTAATGGGCAACAAGTAAGGAAGGATGTGACTGAAGATTATACTCAGCATGAAATAAATGATATAATTGAAAGATTTAAGCAGAGACCGGGGGAACCCCTGCTCTCTTGGATGGTGCGTTTGCACGATCAGGGAGCAGCAGGGGTACCCCTACATCCAGGGGACTCTAGGAAGTTTTTAGTTTTGAGTTCTGACTCCTTTGTGCAAGATGCATTCCGAAATAATCCTCAGGATACAAATTTGTTAACCTTGGCCACCCGGGGATGTTAGAATAAATACCCCATGGAGAATGACTGGCCAGGTGGGGAACGTCCCTGGTGTACTTTGCGAGATTGTATACAGCGGATGAAGGAAGAAGGGATGAAATTGGCAATCTTTATAGGAGACCCTGACAGAATGATGCAAGCTGCCTTGTCTGTCACTCATAGAAACCAACTGATTAAAACTGCCCCACCAGCATATAAAAATGTAATAATGACTCTCTTAATTAACGAGACAGGAAATCCCACTGATGAGATAATTGAAAAAATACAGCAGCAAGGTGATCTTGGAGAATGGAGACCCCAAGGAAGTGCAGGAAACCGAGATACTCGGGACAGCCCTAAAGGAAGTGAGAACAGAGTTTCTCACAAGGAAATGCTTACAGCTTTACTGAAGGATGGCCTATCTCGTGAAAAGATTGATGGTGTTCCAACTAATGAGCTGTGGCAAATATACAAACAAAGAGGGCTGAATAAGCCTAGCGGGAGACTGCAGAGTTCTGAAACTAAGAATCCAGGCGTAACTCAGCCTACAGCACCTCCTCCTGAGCCCCAACGGGACTTCCCATCTGCACACGGTGGGCCCTCCATGGGCAGATCAGTTGTTCCGGGGGAAAGGGAGGATTGGGAGCTGTATTCTGATTTATACCCACGGAAGGAGACTAGGGAAATTGTCCAGAGTAGTAAACAGGAATGAAATTATGGCCAAGCTCCAGTGCAATGGACACGGAAGGACCGACAGCCCCATGTGGAGGTCCAAATATTTTGGAAAAGTCGGTCCTCACAAACAGTAAAAGCCTTAATTGACACAGGAGCGGAGGCCTCCTTGATATATGGGAATCCAAAGAAATTTAAAGGACAACCTGTAATTATTACAGGTCTGGGAGGGAAACAAATTGAAGCTGTACAAACTCAAATTGAAATGAAAACAGGAAACCTCCCAAAACAACTGTATTCAGTCATGATTGTCCCCATTCCTGAATACATAACAGGAATAGACATTTTGAAGGGACTAACTTTGAATCTCCCAGACGGTCAGTACCAGTTTGTGGTGAAAGATCATATCAGTATTAGAACAATTTTAGTAGGAAAAGTGAAAATGCCTCCTGTACAGATTCCTGCTGCTACTAAATTAGTGACTATGAAACAATATAGAATTCCAGGAGGGCCTGAGGAGATATCACAGACAATTAAAGATTGATTAGATGCAGGAGTATTGAAACCAGTTACCACAGCTTGGAACAATCCGGTATGGCCTGTCAAGAAAAGTGATGGGTCATGGAGAATGACAGTAGATTTTAGGGAATTAAATAAACACACCCCACCACTTACAGCAGCTGTACCAGACACTGTTACTTTAATAGAAAAGGTTCAAAAGCATCCAGGGACTTGGTCTGCTGTAATAGATTTAGCTAATGCCTTTTTCACTATCCCAATTGCAGAGGAGCATTGGGACCAATTTGCCTTCACCTGGCAGGAACGACAGTGTACCTTTACCAGATTGACTCAGGGATGGCTGCATAGTCCAACCGTTTGCCATCGGACAGTGGCTGAGCATCTGGATAAGATAAAATTGCCTCCTCATAGGCAAATAGTGCATTATATTGATGATATTCTAATTCAGGGAAACAATGAGAAGGAAGTGCAACAAATACTTGAACAGGTGATGGATCATATGAGACAGAAAGGTTGGGAAATTAATCCTAACAAGATTCAAGAACCATCCCAAACTGTAAATTTTTTAGGAATTCATTGGCATTGTGGGCATCAGGAAATATTACCCAAAACTCGCACAATTACTGATATTGCCAGTTTTGAAAGCAATTGTGAAAAAAGGGGATCCACCTCAAGTCACCACTGTTCGTGGAGATAAAGGGTTTGGATCAACTAATTTCAATAATGGAGCTAAAGTATGGGTCCAGAGTTCAAGCAGACCTCCTGAACCAGCTGAAGTAATAGCCACAGGAAAAGACAATACTGTTTTAATCATGAAACCTGGACAGGAAAAATGGGAATATGTTCCTACAACTAAATGTCTTCTGTGAGAATAACTAGAGGTCTTAAGATTCTAACTTTTAGATCCTGCTAGGATGGATTTGCCTGTGTATCGTCACGGTCCATTTGGGAAAGGCTTTCACACCAGGATAGCCATTGGAAGGTCCATGAGAGACACCGCTTAGGTGGCAATGGAAAAATGCAACCAAGACAAGACAAGAGGATGATTTCCGATGCAAAGCCAATTCTGCCTGTATCATAGCCAATCTTACTTTCAGTACTCAGTTTATTGGAATATTCAGTGAATCTGTGTAAATGGACAATTTTGCCCAAAAGCTTTGATATGTTTGTAGAAATTAGTGCTAAGCATGTTTGTATAGTAACAAATGATAAAAAACTTATAGAAATGTATAATCTAACTACTTCATTTTCGGGATGCCTCAGAAATGTATTCTATCTCATCTGGCACGGACAGATGTATACTTTTTATTCAACGCATGAAGAACAACTAACCATGTATTGGCATCCCCAAAGCTTAGGACTTAATGGAATCAGCTTATCCCTGACTCCACTAAAAACCATCATGGAACAATCAGAACATTTGCGAAGACACCTGGAACGATGAAATAAAACTCTGTCAGATTCTGTGATACAGACTGTAATCACAAAGAATCAACTAATGTCGCTAGCTAGCCAGATGGAGGAGGAGACTGCACACCACTGGTGGGACATCTTTACTGGGTATTCACCCTCTGCAACCCAAGTGTTGAATTTCTTAATACATCCTCTTGTAATATTGTTAGTTATCATTATTATTATTACTTTATATAATTGTTATGTATGGTATCGTATCAAATGGATAGAGTGAACATATTGGGCTCTTCCAAAAGGGTCGTGATCTTCACTCACAAGTCAAAGGACCAATTGAAACAAAAAAAAAAAAAAAGGGGCCCAAACAGCAGGCCTCGAACCAAAGTTGAATTCTGAGTGAATTCCCCGACCATCAACCAGCATCTATCTCATCAGCAGCATGAAGCAACCAGCATCTTATCAGTGTGAAATGCAACCCTGGGAACGATCCCTGGGAACTATAAGTAAACAATAGGAAGTAACTATAAATCCCAAATGTAAAGAAAAACAGAAACTCCTCAGACATGCCCGGATCCTGGCCAGATCCGGACACGCCTGACTGAGGCACATCAATCTACCAGATATCTCCTGTGCGTTTTGTATACACTTGTTAGTTAAACTGTACAAAAGCCGGGCCCTCTCCCAGCACAGACGCAGACCTCCCCTACGAGCGGGCGCCCTGCGTGGGACTTCCCAGCTGCCGGGAAAGGCTCTGCGACCCTTCGCTGGGACGGGGCTCCCCAGCTGGTGCACGGGGCGGGGGGGATGGTCAAGTAGGAGGGCAACTGGTGATGGATCTTTCTTAATCACTATACCCAGCTTTATGTAGTAATGACTAGGTGCATTACCTTGCTTATTCTTTCTGCTGCTTTAAACTAAAGTAAAATAAGCCTATTTCTTTAGCTTGGTGCCTGTGTCCTTTGTGTTAACCCCGTCAATTGGCAAAACAATGAATCTAATTTTCAAACTCCCCTAGCTGAAGGGCTTTCCTCCATCAATTCAGCATGGTATTATTAGCTCAATGAACCAAGAATCAGCTAGGCAAGCTTGCTTGTTGGAATACAATCCATTACGCACAAGATGACCTGAATGTATCCACGATCCAAACACTGGCAACTTACTAAGCACCAGAGTTGCAACCAACTCCTCACTGAAAGAATCAAAGTTACTGCATTACATGGGCTGCAGATTGCTGTCCTGATCACTGACTGGGGAAGTCAGGAGTTACTAGTTACCTGACAGCGATAGCCTTTACAGTAATTAATGCTTTATATGGCATTTGTCAAAAAATACTCAAAAACCCTCTCAAAATTTGTTGTTCAAACTAGGAAATAAGAAAAAAGAAAAAAAAGAATAAGGTCTCAGGAACACAATGCCGTGGTGGAGAGCCTCTACTCTGTGAGGTTTAGTTTGATGAAAAATGGCAGTTTGATCAAATAAATCACTGTCAGCATCTACACTTGTGCTACAGAGTCTAGCTAAAAGGATCAAAAATAACTAGATTCATGAGTTCACTTTACAACATAACTAAGGGGGAGACAAACAGGTCTGGAAGCAGAAAAGTTGAAATAACTTCAACATGCTGTCAATCAGAAGACCAGTCTCATTTGCTGTTAAGGTGCAGGGTAAAGACAGGGGGGAAGGAGTGGAGAACTGCCTACAGCCCTGAAATATGTAGTGCTGCACCTACCTAGGCAGCTACTGACTAAACTGATAAAAAGGATATCTCTCACATCAACAGCTGAATAATTTAGCATCTGTCATTTCTGAAGAAGTATAATGAAGCTCACTCGGGTGGTACTGCTACCTGCACCAACTATAGTGCAGGGTCTTAAAGATTTTTATAAGTAAGAGACTGTGCAGTGTGATGAGGTCACTAATCCAGATAAATTGTTCCAAGTACTTACTATATGAACAGAACAAATGTTTCCTCAGTGACTCCAGTATGCTAACATTCTCCACCTTCAGAAATAATCAGAATGGTGATATTCTAAGGCAATCACCACATTAATTTCACTTCTGCCAGACTCCAAAATAAATCTTTCTTAGAACGACGATCAAATCCATAAGTAGAACTGCTGGAACAATCCTATACACCAGAGTAGGCTTTTGGTGTGCTCAAAACACAGCTGATGTGATTTTTACAACCTCACAAGAAAAGCATAGAAAGGTAATAGAAGAATCACAGATATTCATTACGAACACAGACAAAAGTTGGATACTGTTAGCTATGATACTTTCTAGAAGTTTTAGCTATCAAAAGTAGCTTTCAAATATTATTTGTTTGCCTCATGAAACTGCAGTGAACATCCTTGCCCAAAAAATTTTACTGAAAGTCAGTGGCACCGTAACAGGCCATGTCCTTGAACAATTTCTTGTTTAAAGTCTTTACATGTACTGAATTAAGACTACTTTGGCAAAGACAGAAGACTTCATATCCACTACTGTGGATTCTTCTGTCCATGCAGTCTGCAGAGACCCTGCACTAAACTCATAGTCAGAGAGTCAATATGCTGCTTTCTGGCAAGAATCTTACACTATAAAAATGTGCAACCAAGTGTCCATAAGGTATCACTGACATCATGTTCTAATACATGAACATGACCAAAAGAAAACAGAAGTCCTCTTTCAGCCTTGAGTAGCAGAGAGATGGAGGGTTAGGAAGCCCTGGGATGATGTCAGGCAGATGGCTGCACATGAGCCCTGTACGCCAGCAGGAAGATACCCCTGAACAATGAAAGCACACAGATCGCTGCAAAAGCCAGTGCAGCCTTTCAGACACTGAAGCAGAATTTCTAAAGTGAAAAAGGCATTCCATTTCAAACAAAAGCAAATATATATTGTGCACCAACACCTCTATTTGCCTACATCACTATAAAGCCTGGACAATTTAAAGTCATCATGTTTAAGAACTTCACACATGCCACTTCTGTGGCAGAGTAAGGCCCTTAATACAGGAATGTCAGTGCATGACCATGAAGTCAAGAAAACACGTTCATCTAGACAAATATGACAGAAGCAATATAAGAGATTACTCAAAACTACTTTCTGTGACCACCTAGAACCAATGCAATTGTTCAACAGTGGGCCACTGAAAGCCTTTACCTGTAGGGTATTAATTCCACAGTATAAGAGGTGTTATCAGCTATCACATATTGTAGCTATAAACTATGTGCTAATGTCAAAGTGCATAAGCAAAACAAGAGCTAATAACACTCACAAAAAGTTCCAAAGAAGGGCAAGTGAAATGATTACTTCTGTGGCCATCAATATGTCTCACACAGAAAGACCCATTCCTCACAAAAGTAGCCATAATAAACAGTTCTCACACAGTAAGACAAAGTTTGTCAACAAATGCATAAAACAAAAGAAGGTACTCCCAACTCAGTGTCCTAATCAAGAAATGAGACTGAGGCTCCCTTTTGTCTTCTCTGCTTTTTTGTGTCACACTTAAGGGAAAAAAAGCAAATCTAAAGAAAAGAGGGTTAGAGTGACAAAGCTGCAGGTGGGCATGAATAAACTGCCACCATCACCACTAGCTATTATTCTAGCAGTCAGGGCACTCACTTGGGGCTCTAATGTGCAGACAGGAACCTGAAAGAACGCCATAATCCCCATGTTATAGGTACTGTGGATAGGTTCACGCTTTTCAACTGGCATTGACAATACTGAATATTCAGAGCTGGAATTAGAACTCACATGGTTCACCTCCTAAGGCAATGCCCTAAACCATTAAGTAATCACTAGACATATTTCACTGTAACCTTGTATTAAATATAACATAAAACAGCAGAATAGAAACTGTCAAACAGCCAGATATGCTATGTGAAAACCAGGAGAAAACCTCACACAACTCAACCCATCTTGTTACATCATCACTCCAACCACTTTCTCTTAGTCTACTAGAGAGCAAAGAAATGCAAAAGCAGAATTATCTGATTGAGTAAAGTCTCCTCTTGACTTGTGATGGTCAGCACAGCAGTCCTGACACCAAATTTAATAGCCAACTCTTATAAGTCACTGTATCCCACAGTTACAAAGAGTTATATATTTCATTGAATCAAGTATCCCTGTTTTAGAATTAAACCATGCAGAATTTCAGAACATGCTGTCCTAAACAGTCTAACTTATGTTAGAAACCCGAAGCTGCAGAAACTATACCTTCTTGCTGAAGGTTGACAAATTAACACCTTCCTAGCAAAAGCTTCAACAACCTCAAGTTAGAAGTCATATTCTATCTACACAACAGGTAAGTGCTGACGTCACAAATCATCCCTTAACATCCAAGGTTTGCATCAAACATGGTTGAGGGCTGACAGGCAAGCATACAGGTACATTTTATTTTCAGAATATGGGCATATACACACAAGACTAAGTTACCCATACAACTTTAGGGCTAACATTTAATTTCTGAAGCCAAGATCTGAAAACTTAAAAGGATTTTTTTTTAATACAGTATGACAAACACCTGAAGAGACCTGAATTAGGCTAAGGAAACATTCAAGCATGCATTTAAAGACTTAAAAATAAGGCAGGTTATTGACCTACTTGCAGCATATCATCAACCATAGTCAGAATGTACTGAACCGTCTGTTCCTTGGAGATATGAGTCATCAAGTTTATAAATGTTTTAGCACACTAGAAGAATAAAAGATATATTAAAATTAAAATTAACAATTGTCTTCGTTCCTTTTGATAATATAAAACAGGAGCTCATTAATTCGCAGTTAAGTCTTATATAAGCATTGAGCATCCCAACATCTTACTCAATTGCAGTAAGAGCTTAATATGTTCGACATTACATTACAAAGAAAATTTTCTGTCACATTAATTGTTACTCTTTACAAATTGTTTTAAGGCTTTCCAATGAAATAACAAGTACTCACTAGTGAAAGTCAGCAAGGTGCTTTGTTGACACTAATGAGAAAAATCTCCATCAGTGTCCTTTTTTATGGCAGTGAGGAGGAGAACCAAGTAAATTGACAAAACAGCAACAAACTCAGACATGCTGTAAGAAAGTTTCAGCAACTTGAATGGGAGGGAGGGAAGACAGGTCACTCTGAGCTGTTCACTTCCTATACCTTGTAGAAAAATCTTTGTTCATATTTGAGCTGTTTTCTGCTTCCTGAACAACTTTACAATTTCAGCAACAGGTAATATGCTGAAACAGTCACAACACTACTTTTTACACTTCCTTTTTCCCTTTTACCACATTCAACTAAAACTGAAAGAAAAATGGAACTCTGAACTGCTACACCATAATTATATACTGGCATACAATATTCACCAGATATGCTTTTGTCACTATGCAAAATATAGTCCATTACATAGCAGTCACACAATACAATTTGGGGAAAAAAAACACAACCAAACAAAACAAACAACAAACCACAGAACAACCTAAAATTAAAGTAGAAAAAAGGGCTGTAAAGTCTTGTGTTGAGTGTATCTCCTACTCTTCACATTCTCCCCTGCCTCCCCCAATCCTCTTGATGCCTGACATTGTCTACTAGAGCCTCAGGCTTTGAGGCTGAGATTCTGCTGCTTCAATTATCATTAAAGTGTCTTTGGGTATCCTGCCTGGACTCCATAAGCCAAATGGCATGGGTCACCTATCAATTTTGTATCAGTTCTGTCCAATGCAGATGTCTCATATCTTACCATGCCTAAAATGACACCAGACACCTACGTTTAACCGAATCCACTTTAGCAGTCAGTGGACTCTATTGCTGGAACTACATTATTGTTCAGCTAGATAAACTGAAATCTCACTAGTAGTAGCTCTCATCAATAATCTGTAAGGAAAAAAGCTCAAAAAAAAAAAAAGTGACTGGAGTACAAGTGTACATGATTAAGTAAACTGGGATGAGGAAACACTTAAGTTAGCTTGACCCACAACACAGTCAAAGTCAGGTGACATTTAATAATTATTTAACAGGTTTTTAAAAGAATATCCAGCCTGTATCTAGGAGAAAAAAAAAAAAAAAATAATCATGACAGCAAGTTTTATACTTCTCCCATAACATCTTAACTATATACAGGCCACAATAAAATAGATTTAGTATAAAAATTTCCCTCCATCCTCCTCCCCAAAAGATAGATTATTAAAAGAAAAGAAAGTTACTTGATTGCCTTCTGTTTGCAACAACTCCTGTTTTTCTTCTGGATTTCTTTTCTGTTCAAATCTTTGAATAAATTCACAGTCTTCACCTGAAATCATCTGCCCTCTGAAAAGCAAAATATGAAAGCATAAATAACATCACTAATAGGTTATTTTAAACTATATTGGGTTTATGGAGCAAGGTTTTGGTAGCAGGGGGGCTGCAAGGGAGGCTTCTATGAGAAGACAGCCGAAGTGGCCCCCATGTCAGACACAGCCAGTTCCAGCCAGCTCCAGAACAGACCCACCGCTGGCCAAAGCTGAGCCATACAGCAATGATGGTAGTACCTCTGTGATAACATACTTAAGAAGGAGTAAAAACTGCTGCCCAACAGCAGCCAGGAGAGAGGAATGAGATTGTGAGGGAAACAGATCTGCAGACACCAAGGTCAGTGAAGAAGGAGAAGGAGGAGGTGCTTCTGGCACTGGAGCAGAGATTCCCCTGCAGCCCGTGGTGAAGACCATGGTGAAGCTGGCTGTCCCCCTGCAGCCCACGGAGGTCCATAGTGGAGCAGACACCCACCTGCAGCCCATGGAGGACCCCACGCCAGAGCAGGCAGATATGCCCTAAAGGAAGCTGCAGCCCATGGAAAGCCCACACTAGATTAGGTTCCTGGCAGGAGCCCTGGCCCTTTGAAAAACAGCCCATGCTGGAACAGGTTTTCTTGCAGGAACTGTGAACCCATGGGGGACCTATGTTGAAGCAGTCTGTTCCTAAAGAACTATTCCATGGAAAGGACCCATGCTGGAGCAGAAAGTGAACAACCATATCCCATAGGTGGGACCCCAGGCTGGAACAGGAGAAGAGCATGAGAAGCAAGGAGCAGCAGAGACAAAGTGTTATGAACTGACCACAACCCCCATTCCCCACCCCGATAAACCACTCAGGACAAGGAGGTAGAGAAGTCGGGAATGAAGTAGAGCTTAGGAAGAAGGGAGAGGTTGGGAGTAGGTCTTTTTTAGATTTGTTTCCACTTCTCATTATGCTATTCTGTTTAATCGGCAATAAATTAATTTAATTTCTCCAAGTAGAGTCTGCATTGGCCATGATGGTAATTGGTAAGTCATCTCGCTGTCCTTATGTCAACCCAAGAGTCTTTTGTCATGTTTATTCCCCTGTCCTTTTGATGGAAGAAGGGTAATAGAGCAGCCTGATGGGCACCTTATGGCCAGCCAAGGCCAACCCACCAAACAAACTTTATTTTCTTCAACTTGAGATATCGAAAGTATTGCTTTACCAATCCTGTATCCCACAGTAGAATGTAAAATGCTTCTTTCTACAAAAGGTCTCATGTAGAAATCATTTAAAACTAATGACAGAACTGTCACTCTGAAGCCTTCACTATACATCACCTCTTCTCAACAACATTCTCTAAATAATTCTTAAACTTCCAGCAGCTGAACACAATGGTCAGTGGAAATAGTTGTAAGAACCAAAATACAGGCAACTAGTGTATTATGCTAAAATTATAATACATAACATGAATAATAGTCTAATCCAACCTGAATTAAATGCTGAAAAAAAAATGAATTGTTATTTTAAGTTTGCCATAATCCATTAAGAGAATTTTAATGAGTACAGAGAACTTGGTTCCTAAAGTATTTTTAGCATTCACTAATTACAATTCAGTGTTTCCTGGTAATTTAAAAACTGATATGCATGCAAGCTCATCCAAATACACAGCAAAGGGGCTTGATACAGTAAAGTGCTGTGGACACCAACAAGCTAACAGTTCTCTACTTGATCTTCTGTTTAACTTGATATTCAATGGGCTACTGCCACCATCAGTGCTATTTCAGAAAGCTGTTGATTCAGCTGAAGAGCTAGCAGAATATTGTTGGGTTTTTGTTATAATACAAAACTTACCATCACAACAAACAACAAGCTTGTCAAAATAGTACCGTCAGGTACTGTTTAGGTAAGAAAGCTAATTTTAAATCAAGCAGTCCTGAAAATATCCAAGACTTTAATAGGTGACTAGCCTTACTAGTTAATACCATGGGTGTTTCAGGAAAGAAGGAAATTGTGCACACCGTCATCAATACAAAAGTCACAGGGGATGAAAGTATTAGACATTGCTCTGAGTTATTTTCAAGACTCGTCTCCTCTTACATTTCCACTGAGTCAAATGTCCCTTCCACTTTACAGAGCAAAGCACAAATTCTTTTAATCCATCTTTTCTATGTTCCAAGTCAGTTTCCAGATGTTTCATGAATAAAAGTTCCATTAAAATCCTTGTAAACTTACAGGAAATGTTTCCCTTTTTTTTATTATTCAGTTGACTCACCTGCATTCTTGAAACACAGAGACAAGACCTACAATGTGTTTTTATCTTTCCTCTTACTTAAATGGTTATGTCTTGAGAATGGCCTCATTAGAGTCATCTTTTACCTATTTACTTTCCAATCAAAAAACATACGTAGCCCCGTACCACATGCACTATTCCTGTATTCTAGATGCTTTGTAAGAAATATCTTCATACGCACTGAGGAAAGGCAATTAAGACTTACTAGATGGAAGATTCATAAAGCCGTTGGTAGTCCTTGACTAGTTTCTACTAAAACTTAACTAATCATAGATGAAAAAGTAATTAACCAATAATGACAATGCTGCTACCACATGCCTTCGATTGACTTGTGTTCTTTCTTGCCTGTTAAGGATGGATTTGAATAGCTGTTGAAAGATGAAAACAATTAATCTGCAACAAATACTGGACTTAGTGACCCATAACTAGAAATCTCTCATGTTTCAATCAGTGCTGGCCGAGCCGGGGACTCCTGGATAATACTGATATAAAAGTAACCAGATGAGCTGCTTATGCTTGAAAAAGCCTTAGCCCAGGAAGAGAGATGCTTCTTTATAGCCAGGCTGTTAGAAGAGATCTGCCAACTGCCAAGGAAAAAAGCTTTCAAGCTTTTGCTTTCATCCTACATTAGGCCACAAAAGAAAAAAAAAAAAAAAAAAAAAAATGTGAGGATTGATGTTGCCTAGAAAGGAAACAACACTAGGGTTTACTCTTTATTGTTTTGTACGTGCCATTCAAAAAGACACTTTCCAACCCATACAAAATAGTACAAGGGATTTGACAGCTTTGTAAACAAGTTGTTAATATTTTACCAGGGATCTCATACATTTGATTAATAGTCTAGGTAATTTCAAATGCATCCATTTCCATTCACCTCAGTTTAAAATTGAAGTAACTCATTATGTAGTAAACCTTAGCAAACAGTGAAAAAAAAAATTTAAAAAAAATGGAAAAAAGCAGAGCAGTCTCAGACAGTTGGTACCAGCTACCATAATGCTACAACCACATTTTCATCAACCCCTCTACAAAGAGACAGGAATTTCCCAGCACCTTTAAGCAAACAATGCAGGTAGCCAAAGCTTCCTTCCATCCCTTTCCTTAACATTCATTTAATTCCTTATTTTCTAGACGTGTCTATACAGCTTTTTGTCAACAGAAAAAAGTGACTTTGAGCTTCAGCTGTCTGGGTACCTCAGGTTTAGACCAGGAGTCCTGAAACCACATTTTAAAGCTCTGTGCTTGATACTAGGGCCTGTCTTTGAGAGCGCTAACTATAGGGGAGTGAACTGAAGCTGTGCAAGATTTAGAAAGCATGAATTTGTAAGACCATCATTTTTAAAACCTCTTGGTCTCTCAAGATGATTCAGAAACTTGTGATTCCTTCTTTTTATTATGCACTTCCTCCAGCAGCTCTTGTTAAATCACTGAAACAAAAAAAGGAACAAGACATCTAAGACATGATTGGCTTGTAAAGTCTAAGATATTTAACCCACTTTACAAGGTTGCCCCACCCCCAGGAAAATAAAATAGATGTTTTTACATATGTTTGTGAATTCTGATGTTAAGTACTTGAAGACGCATGGGAAGCTAAGTACAAATTAGCCATCAGGTATCTCACCTGATTAAATATGAAGTATTGTCAAATTCTACATACCTGTAAAACTTACAGTGCAGTAAGATGCAAGTTAAGCTCTGAACCAAGCTCACTTTTCCACAGAACTCATTTACTACCTTTAGAAAGCAAAACAAAACCTGCTTCAAACAAGTTAACACACCTTCCAAAGGCATTCTGACACCCTGAGGCAAATGCAGAAAACAACCACACAGCAGTGATCTACCATATTTTCAACTAGCAGAGAGCATCAACACCTCTGAACTGCTCCAAGTCTCAAGATCCAAAGGCAGGAAAGCCTGTACAGAACTAATGGCCTCAACTACATCTAGTTTCCAGAAGGTAAGTAGACCTACACATCACCTTCTCCTGTTCCGTTTTGCTACTTTCTACTCCCTCAGATGCAGATCCTAGCTGGAATTCAACACCAAGGAAATGTAAATTGTAGCGTTCCAAAAAAAAGAAAAAAATCTTTTTCCACAGCCTACTTTTGAAATGAGCTGTGAACACGGTGGCAAACTAGTCATATGTACAGTTGTCATACCTAAATATTTCACACTTGTGACAACAGTATATGCAGAAAACATCAAAAGTCAGCAGTTGTGTGTTAGCGTAGTTTGACATTTAGTTTACAGTTATAACCTTCAGAGACGGAATAAAAAATATTGCCAGTTAATATTTAGCTTGAACTGACTCTACAAGAGAAGAAGAGAAGTCAGGCTACTGGAGTCTAACCAACTATTAGTAAAACATTTTACTTTTGCACTGTAGAACAGAGAGCAGAAAAGAACATCAGAATGCCTTCCTGGGTTCCTGGGTGACCCAGACTCCAATGCTGTTGCAACTGATACAATCTTCAAAGCATCTTTATGCACATACAACTGTCACAGCCAGATTTACAAAAAAAAAAAAAAGAAAAAAAACACCAAACAGACACCACACAAAAAAACTTCATCATAATTTCTTGTGAAGTTCTTTGATTCCAACTTTCCAACTAAATAAATGCTATCTATAGTTTAAGAAACACAAATTATGCCATTGCTGAGTGGTATGTTAACTTGGGGAAAACAAACATTAAAATCTTTCCTCCAATGTAAAAATGTCTGAAGACTTGAAGCACGCCTCCATATATTTATATGCAAGCTTACCACACTAAATGCACAGACTGCCAGATCAGGAGCTCAAAAGAAAGCAAGAGAAGCATCCTTCAAAATTACCAGCTCCCCATCTTCCTTACACTCTATAGACCAGAACAAACCACTCTGACCTGCCCCTAACAGGTGCATCAGAAGCAAGCAGCTTCCACTCATTTATTAATGTGCTTCATTCCAGAAATTAGTCAATATAACTGCACTGAATTTCCAACAAATCCCTTAAAGCACCAGAGTCAAAGATACCATCATATCCAAATATGCCAGTTGTAAAAAGGACATGTCCAAAAACAGATATAATTTTATTTCCTCTTTAGAAGCACCAAAAGTTCTGCTGATGTTTCCCAATAACTAACAATAAGGAAACTCCTCAGCCAAGGAACTACACTTATCTTCACACTGCTCCACAGTCCCTCTGGCACCACTTAAGTTCATCCTTGAGGCTACCTTAGCCAGCCAGCCAGGCTGTTATCAGTAAATACAAGACACAAAGCCTATATTTATTTCAGAGCAATAAATAGGACACACTGTCATTGACATACAGAGGGCACCAACCACTGAACAATCTCACAACAGGATCACAAACACTACCTAGAAGCACTGAAGTAGTCTCCAAAACCTGTCTAACGCATCAAAGAGAGGCAATAACTACTACATTCTTCTTTCATAGATTCTAGAATAAAAAAAAAAATCAAATTCTACATCTAGAATGTGAAAAAGAACCATCAACACTGCCTCCTGGTCAAAAGAAATTGCATAGAAGTTTGCTGACAGATGAATAAACAAAACTCCCCTATCCTTATTCAGCACCAGAGAGAGAGAACTTCAAGAATAAAGAAAAATTATAAATGGTAGACCAAAAGCACAGTGAAGCAATTAATACTATGTACGTATTCAAAATACAATTCCTTGCCAAACAGATCCATACCCTACACTAACAAGAGCCACAGATGAATCTCACCAGACCTATAGTCTGAACCACTAGAGAAGCAGTCAAAAAGACTATCTCATAATTCACTTACAGTGACAGTGAACAACTGTACTTCTACTTTCATCCTGAGCAACTGCAAACTAGCTGTTCACTTGCCACTAGGACAGCACCGAACAGCTGCTCAGGCTTCCTCGGGACACGCTTCCTATCAGATGGATAACAGGGCAACAGAGTAACAGTAAAAGTCGCTTAGACTGTTTGAAAAGTGCCTGGTAGCTGCCACTGTCAAGTTACCACTTTTAAGTTCCTCTTCTGTCTGCAAAGCCACTGTAATGTCACACCATAAACTGAACCAGGAACTGATCCATCTGAAAAATGGCCTAGAAAAAGGAAGTTGCCTCAGCAGATCAGTTCCTTAATCCGTATTTATCATGCAGATATACAATCACAAAGAGAAAAAATAACAGAACTGAATGAATGGAATAAGCAGGACTGAACTACGTAGCACAGGGCAAAGAAGGTGGTCATTAATAAGCTTTCACTGGGTTAGCACTTCTCAGCTTGCATGTGCACTGTTTTACAACATTATTCTAACATATAGCATATATTTATGTACATATCACATCAATCTGAAAAAAACTATTTTTTGTGAAGTGGTATAATTTTGATAATCACAAAGCACCATCAGTACAGTTTGTACCTCTAGAATCACCAAGATTTCTGCCACTTCGGTTACAAAGCAACAAACACTGAAGTAATTTGCTATTATATGTGGATCCTCAAAAGCTAACAGTAATTTACACGTTGCCTATACTCTTCATAGGTACTTGTCATGAGGAATGCAGGGCTGCAAGAAATCTTGCATTTCACTTCAGATTACAGAGGACCAGTAACAGCCTGTTTCTTTTCCCTGTTCCCTACCTCATGTGCAAATCTATTTTCCTCAGCTTGTCCCTACATCCTCTTCGGACAATATTTCTCTTGCTACCCCCAATGCCATTATACATGTTCCAAAGTAAACCCTAAGCCATCTGAAATGGCAGCACAGCTCTCCCCAGACTGAAGTGTTTGTTTCAGCCTAGTCCCCGATTTACTTGCCTCAGTTGCTCCCCAGTGCTGTTCTTCCTTTTGTTAAGGTACAGTTTATTTTCCTGGACTACCAGTCCAGTTTTGCTAGTACAGTTTGTATTCACACCAAAGGCACCTCAGCAATAAAGATAACAATAACATACCTACATATAAGACAACTCTTAGTGTAAACTTTTTTCTTACTTCAGCACTTATCCAGTAAGGCTTAAATTGAGAATCGTGTTTGAATGATAAGGGGAAAAAAAAAAGACAGTTTTACCACACAATTGTGTAAACTTATATTATTTTCTCTTGCAGCATTCAGTTCACAAAAGTAGAGTTACCTTTCTGGTAATAAGTCATAGGAAAATTTTCCCCACATGCTTCCATTTAGCGTAAGCTTTTTCCAACTACTTCCATGGGACTAAGACAGAATGTTCCTCATTGTAACCTAATGTTCCAATGTAACCCAAAATCTCAAAAAGCCTAACATTTAAGAGGGAAGGGGGGAGGGGAAAATGTGGAAATTTTTTACTTACTGAAGATATGACTGCCAGTTTACTTTGTTTGCTCGAACTTCAGCAGCTTTGGCAGCAATGATGTTTGTTGGGACAGCAGCATCTACAGCACCTCGGATATCCATCTTAACTGATAATTAAAATGTACCTAGAAATGCAAGTCAGATAAATCAGATTTGAGACCTCTTACTAAAGTATGGAAGAGTAGGGTAACTGTCCAATATTTTAAAGAAATAAAAAGGAAATCTGTTTTCAGGTGTCTCATTATCTAAAACTGTACTCGGTACTTTCTGAGAAATCGAAATTTTATAAAGCATTCAAAATGCAACTTCCCTGAAACAAAAATAAACCATACCTACACACTAAAACTGTGAAGAATCACAGGTTTGCTAAAAGATATATACCATCACTAAGTAACTCCCAGTCTTCTAATTTCTTAATCAAATTAAGTTATTTTAATAAAGACTACTCTTCTGCAATGCCCAAGTAGCCCTACTGATAACAGAAGCTGTCTTCCTTCCAAATCAAGAGTTAAAATTCAGTGCATATCCTCCCCACCCCCACACATTAGGACTGATTTAGTTCAGGCATTTGTCTAAGAACATTCAAACATTAGAAACACATGAATTGCAACCTCAGAGAAAAAAAAAAACAAAAAAAAAAAAACACAACAACAAAAAAAAAACCAAACACAAGTTATATAAATTAAAGTCCATGTTACATAGACTAACAAAAAAATTCATATTACCACTGTAAAGGAAACAAACTGAAAAACAAATACAAAAAGAAGCTCTTCATCAGGACATACTACATTACCATAGACTGTGACCTTCACCACTTCTTTCTCCTTCCTTTATGGCTTAACCTCCACCTGACTTTTGTTTTTGATGCCAAAACAAGAAGTGTGTTTGCAGAGGCTCAAGACCCAGATTGGGCAGGAATTCCTTACAAAATAAACAGCATCAGGCCTCTCCATGCAGCCTATTTCTGGACTTCTCTGGCTTGGTAAGCAAGAGCAAACTAGCACATTCTGCCTCATCCCTAACAAGCATACCTCGCTTGTAGGACTGAATGATGACCGATATGATTCTAACAAAAGAAAAAAAAGAACTAAAGAAAAAAAAAAAAAAAAGGAACTACCCTGAACAAATGGAGCAGCAGAACTGTCCTCCCTTGGAAACTGCTTTTATGAGCAGGCACCCACAAAGATGGCACCATTCACTATGTCCTCCAGCGGCCACTGAACGTTCCCTAGCTCTTACATGACCCAGTCAGAGCCATTTAATTACTCCTCGAGCAGCAGAGGAGGGCAGGCTCGCTAACAGCGGTTTCAGGAGCACGCAAGCCCCACGGCTAAGTGGAAGAAGCCGAGGCGCCCAGCACAGAGGGGAGGAAGTCCCCTGGCCCCGTCCTGCCACCCCCTGCACAGCCTCAACCGCCTCCCGAGGGTCCCGAATTCCTCAGGGAACCCAGGCGGAGGCCTTCGCGCCGCCCCCGAGCCCGCCAGAGCCCCCCTGAGAAGCCGCGCGGCGGCACAGCCCCCCCCCACCCTCGTGACGGGCTCCCACTCACCCTACGGGCGCACTGGCGGGTGGGAGCCACAGGAGGGAGAAGGGCTGCGGCAAAAACCCGCACCCCGCGCACCCGACGCCCTCCGCCCACCACCCCCTCCACGCGCGATCACGTGACACCGCTGATCGCGACGGCGGCCTCCGAGGGACAACTACCGCCGAGCGCCGCGCGGGGGGGGCGGGGCTCGCGCCCGGCACGGCCCCGCCCGGCGGCCGTCACCCCCGGTAAAGGGGCCGGGGATGGGGAGGGCGCTGCATTCGGTGTTGAAATGCTTACTTGGGCACTGCAGTTTTTTGTTGCTTGCTTGGTTGGTTGGTTGGTTGTTTTCTCTCTTTCCCTCTCTCCTCCTCTTTCCCTCTCTCCTCCTCTTTCCCTCTCTCCTCCTCTTTCCCTCTCTCCTCCTCTTTCCCTCTCTCCTCCTCTTTCCCTCCCTCTCTTTCCCATCTGTCTGTCTTTCCCCAGTACCAGGTATTTTCCCGCTCTCTGCCCCTCGTGGTGTCACGAGGCGGGTTGTGCCCCCCGCTCCCAGCAGGGAGCTGTGACCGCTGGCGCCGCGTTGTGTCACGCCGGGTCTCGCCCCCCTCAGCTGCTCCGGGTTGTGTGCTGGGGGAACGCCGTTCTGTTCTTCCCAAATTGTAGCTGGGTGGGAGATACGCCCTGCACAACTTCTTCGGGTTGTTTGTGGGGTTTTGGTTTTTTGTTTTTTTTTTTTTTTTTTCTTTTTTTGTTTTTTTTTTTTTTTTTTAAAAGGCCTGTTTATGTTGGGCTTTTGTCTCTTTAAGCAAAAGGAGCACTAAAGTTTTCAAGCTGAAAGCCCAAGCGTTTTGGAATCCACAGGCTTAAATTTCCACATTTCTGAGAAAAAAACTCCTGTCTTTGGCTGCTGAGTGAAATTTTCCAGTCATACTGTGAAGTACATAGACTTCCAAGTCAGAAATATTCCTGAAGAGTAATTCTGCTAACATAAGAGGAAGAAAGGCAGACAAAAGAGAAATAGGTCAGAGAGTTTTGTATGTGAGCAGATCAAAACAGACAATGAAGAGCTGGCCTAGAGATGTCTACAGTTAACTTTTCATTTTGTTACAGTCTCTCTATTTTCCATTTAGAGGATACACTGTTTAATTATACCTGGCCAGTACCTTTATTAGAGTTTTTTAACTTAAAGAGGGTTTCCATTACTGTGTCACTGAAAAATTAAACCCTCCGTAAGAATTTTTCCTTTAAAACAGATCTTTCTTCATACCACAGTAAAACTGTTGGTTTCTTGGTAGCATAGCCACTGATCTTAAATCCCAGGCACGGTCTTACTAACAGCATTTGCATTCCTTTATGCTTTAGCAGAAAAAAGTTCTCTAAGCCACGTGCAACTTCGGTCCCGTGCATTCTGCATTTCCTGCTTCTGCTTTGCCTTTTTATGGCACATCTTGTTTTTAGTCCAGCATCAGGTACCTGGAATAAATATTAGTCACCTTTTCCACCATCATTTCAAACCACATTACCAAGGATGGTACGTATGACTCTACCATTTTATAAAGAAACTAAACTACAAAGGGCTTACAAAATAATCTGAACACGGGTTGAAGTTTTTTAAATGGGATTTGCAGAATGAAGGCATCAAAGGCCTGTGCGGGGATCCTACAAGCTACCATTCAGCCCTGATCTTAGCTAGAGGCATGTGAGGCTTTCCTTCTGTGAAACTTCCTCAGTTGTCAACAATGATATTTCTGCCCAAACCATAAACTGTCCCAGCACTGAAAACTCTGACCACTGATTACCTTCTCTTACCTAAGCCAGGTGTGGTATTTTTCCACCTTCACTCTTCCAAACTCAGTCCTATCATTCTTAGAGTTTAAGTAAACCCATGGAAACTAATCAGAACCTCTGAATGTGTGGTCCCAGCTGCCAGTTTTAAGACACAAATAGTGTTACTCCCCATCACATGCCTCTATGTCTAGCAGGGTAATGTCCCAAATACTTGCTTAGGCATGCAAAACGATTTCTTCTGCTGGAGATCACCTATTTAAATGAATCCAAAAACTCGATCATAGTCTGCTTCACGCAGCATATTTCTCCAACCCCTTTAGCACACTTCTGGCCTAGCCTGAGTACCAGCACGCCAGTACTCTGGCTGAACCTGAGTAAAAGTGTACACAGGATTCCGGTTCTCTCACTTCTAGTTCTTGCTTCCAGTATTGTTTCTGTGCTTTATTGTAAGCAGAGAAAACTAAATTAATGGTTTCAATTTGGTGCCCAATGTGATCTCTTATTTGGAGCATGCATTAGGTCATCAATTGTCCTTTTTTTTTTCATAGCAGATTATTTTTTTGCCTAACTCCACCACCTGCAAGAGTCTAGCACCATCCATTCAGTCTGGCTAAAAGAAGACAGACTGCAGTCAAAATTTTGATACCACAGCAACATGGCCATTTCTCTGTAGAAAAGAACATTGAAAGCTGTGATTTGACATGTTGACTTCATCATAAATGCCAGACTCTGGTTTTATTATCCATTTCACTGGTGGTTGAGAGGCTACAGTAAAAAATACTTTCCTGTAACATTTCTGTAACCTTGGAGTGAGGTGTAATGGCTGAAAGTATGCATCTACTGAATTAGCAGAAAGGCTAAGAGAAGAGAAATAATTGTTATAGTAACTACATTATTTTTTCAACAGGAGTTCCAGGGGGCATTTAAAGAACTACCAGACAGTAAACATGACATCTATGCCAGGCAAGTTAATGGAGTCACTAGCAGAGGAATCAAATTAGTGAACACAATGTACCATATTAGAGAAGGCAAACAACATATTGTTCCTGAATATACCTATATAATAGAATACTTAATTTACATATTTGTCTACACCATGTAGGGGAATAAATGCCAAACATTAACAAAAAGTAACTACAGTTCTGCAGGGGACAATCGAGTCTCACACCTCTGCAGGAGTTCTCTGTGTGTGGACAAGGTTGGTACAGGTAGACACTTGGTTTTCCAAGAGGCATTTGGCATCTGCAGGTGCCCTTAAAAACAAAACAAAAGAAAAGAAAAGAAAAAAAAAAAAACACAGAACAACTCTCCTGAGTTAAAAGGAAAGGTCTACACATTGATTCATAACTCCTGAATGATGTGTACACAACAGAGGGTAAGAAGAAATGATCAGCTTTCAAAGTGCAGAAGGGTCTTCAACAGAGTTCAAAAAAGCATCTGGCTGGAGTCTGTGCTGTGCAGCACATTCAGAAATGTTTGAGAAAGGAGGTAAATTGTGTAGTGAAAACTGTGCCGATGGTGGCACTGCTCCTTTGATAATCACACACTTAAACTGGGAACCACCTCGCCAGAGGATGGTGGGTATGCTACAGATTGACATGTGCTCTTATCTCCTGTCTGTCAAACTCTTGGGCACATCTGAAAATTTTCACTCAGTGTGAGTCCCATGAGGCACTCTCTGTGTTAAGGAACTTAATTGCATTGCAAAGGTAGGCTTTCAGAAAGAAAAACATTACACAGTGATTACAGGAACCTGTTTCATGTGTACCTATCATCACTATGACAGCAAGGGGTGATCCTCAGCAACCAGTACATGATCAGCTGCATGATCAGCTTCAGAGAGCACTTCATGGTGCCTCATTCACGGTGGTTGATTCTCTGAACTGGATCTTGCTAGAGGTTATGATTGGAAAAGTGATGTGCTCCTATTTTTCAGTAAGCATCTATACTTTGTGATTCAGGTGCTGCAAAACAATTCTCATTTAGCTAAGTTTGCTCACATCAGTGCTTGCCCATTAACTCCTGGCAGCACAGCTTCATTTGAATTTTCTATATTTAGATTACTTTATTGATGTGTGAAACACAGAGAGAAAAATGAAAAGTATATCAGCATGCAGGAATAAAAATCATCAATTGCCTAGATCACAAAGAATAAAAATGTTCAGTAGTTTAATACTAGAAAAATTAATGCAGATGAGTCATCCTTATAGCAAGACTACAGACAGCTGGATTGTGAAAGTATTTTTTCTGTTCTCCTTTCCTTGTAATAAGAGCAAGGTGTCATTGTCTTTCATACATTCTGCAAATTACAGAAGTGTTTTGCACACCTGCCGTTTAACCTTTCAGTATTCCGTACATGACCCGGCTGTCTCCTGCATGTCTGTACAAGTTTTTAACATGTATAGAAGAAATGGCTTGGAAAGTTTATCCAAGCAAAACAGGAGATCAGGAAAAATGAACACACTTCTCTAATTTACAAGATATTATTGACTAATAAAAAATCAAAAATGGCAAAATTTGCAAAGGAGGACATTTTCAATGTGTATACACTAGAAGAGCACAGAGGCTAAGCTCAACTTTAAGAGCTATCATTCCTAAAACAAATACTTCATTTTACCCTAAGGTAAGGATTCAGATCAGGTCCTCTGAGTGCTCAGGCTTCTGCTTTTCCAAGGCTTAAAACCCATCCTCCCAGGGCAGTATGGAAAGGAGCAGCATGTGCATTGCATGGCAAGGGATGGATGCGAGCCATAGACAGGGGCTTCTTAGCATGGATTCTTTCAGCATGGAGCCCCTGTGGGTGCACTGCAGGAGACAGACATGTTTCTTCTATCACAGAACTAAGTGCCATGTGCACTTGGTCAGCAGATCCTAAATTAAACCTGTTATTTTTTGTCAAAGGGGTTTACATAGCAGAAGAGAGGCAACAGCAAAGGAGAAATAAATATAGATCTGCTTGTGGGTTGCAAGAGGGAAACATTAGAGGGATTCTAGCTGGTATGAAACTTGAAGCCTTTTTGAGCATCAGCTGTTAAGTCCATCCAACACTAATGTAAAGTAGGAGGATCTCTGCTTTCTAGATAAGCTAAGGCAGAGAAATATGAAGAAACTAGCTCAAGGTCACATGAATGGGGAAAACCAAAGAACATGTTGTTGTAATTCTAAAATACTCCTTTCCCCAAATCACTGCTCCACAGTATAGAAGAAGACAATAGTGCAAAAAAAGAAACAAACCTACAATAATCTGTCAATGCAAAGTGAGAAGAAATATATCAGAATGTGTCCGTCTTTGGTTGTTGCAGCACCTTATCTCATACGCTGTGTCGTAAGGCCTGAAGAGGAAGACTGCTAGTTGTCTCCCAGAGGATATGATTTATTCTTCTTTTCCACTGGTGGAAATTGTGTATGTTATCTTTAAATTTCAAAATAAAGTAAATAGAGCTAATTATTTAAATACTTTAATATTCTCTATCTTATATATTTATTTATCATTTTAAATATGTATTTCAACTACAGATAAGAAAAAGTCAGTCACTGACTTTCTTAGTCGTTTTTATGCATTTTGCTCCTTTGGGCTTTTTAGTGTTATGGAACAAAAGAGTACAATGGCTTTTGAAAAATCTCATTGGACATCTAGATATGTCTTTCGGTGCCAAAATTATCTGAAAAAAAAACTAGCATGATTTGATATTACAAGAAAGTATAAAAACTACTCACATACTGGAGCAAATCCCAGTGATTTCTGATGACCCACTCACTGTTACACAACTAACTTCTTATTCTGGAGAGAAAATGCTGTAATATTTGTAACTTTTGAATGAACTTGATTTATTTTACAGTTCTGGTTTCTCTTTATTTTCATCTCATGAGTTTCCCATTTAATCCATCTCTCCCAGGAGATTTCATGTTTGCCTCACAGGCATCAAGGAGTACCTGTGGGACAGGGGAATGGGGGACTTGAGGTTCTTTTCTCTCCTGTCTAAGGGTGGAGGGTTGTCACGGAAGAGGCTTCCTTTCACAAAAACAGAAGTGACTTTTCAATATGAGGAGATAGAGTGCTTCACTGTACATTTTTCCTGAGTAATTATATCAAGATTGGCCCATTGTGAACAGGACTTTTACTGCTTTGGCTGTCTGTTTTCTCCTCTTATTTTATCTTCATTTTAGTGTCTGTGTCATAGTAGGAGAACATTATTCTGTGAGTATTTTTTTAAACAAGTAAATCCTGCTTCCTGCAACCAATATAGACTTATCTGACTTCTAGGTCATAGAACTTAGACCATTTTTCTTTAAAATTTATCAGATCCAGGCCTAACAGATCTGGTAAATCTAATACACTACAATATTGCAAATGTTGTACCAGGCAATCTTCTTATTGCTCCACCACCTCCTTCAAATAAAGTTTTGCATGCTCAGTTAAGGAATTACACATATCTTATCCTTAATAGGAGCAGTATTTTTGAAAGAAAAATGAACTAACATTTTATTGTGATAAACACATCTTCAATTTTTTTCCCTGGTAGAATGGAACAATGCTATATTGTCAGAAATTTGGAAGTGAACTAATGTGCAGAAACGGGAACGGAAAAGCAAGTGCAAAACTTAACTATTTATAGCTTTGAAAAATAAATGCAGCTGGGGTTAAAACAGTAGAGTGCATTATTTTAGGGAGTAGGGACAAGTGCCTCTGTCTCATGAACATGCACTTCTATATTGAAAGCTGGAGGGTCTCAGAGTGGCCAGCTGTTCTTTACAGCCTACAGAATCTCTCCTCCTCCCACTGTCAGTCTCTGCTGCTTTGTGCCAACAGCTCTTGTCTGGACAAGGTGGTCTGCACCTGAATGTGTAGAAGGGGTGCTCTTCTAATGTGTATGAAGGGCGCTCTTCTCTGGGAAATTGCTTCAGTACCAAGTGAAATAAAGTCTATCTCTAAATTAAAATTAAAAAAAAAAATAATAAATAAAAAAAAAAAAAAAAAAAAAAAAAACAATAGATCCTCTAACTTCATCCTCTCTTAAAAGAAAAAACTAGGTCAGAGCAGTAGCTTCTTGGGGGAAAAATGAAATGCTGAGCTACTCCGTGCTGCTGGCAGTAAGCCTGGCTAGAGGGCAGAAAAGAAGGCCATTACCTAAACCTCAGCAGTAACTGCCAAAGTCAGACTTATTATGCAATGACTTCTAGTGCAATTTAGCTTGTCAAACCAAATGCTGGAAAAAGTGTTCTCTCATTGTTCTTCTTTTTTCTCCTCAGCACTTACTGTATTTCTCTGAAAAAAGACAGAGACGTGACCAAGGCACCTCTTCTCACGAGAGGTGCTATGGGGACCGATGACATTGTGTCTACCTTATATCTAAAGTGCTGAATTGTCAAAACTTTGACACTTTCCAGAAAAATATGTTGGTTTAGACATACTTTTCGTCTTGGAAAAGGATGTTGCAAACTTTCAAAATAGATAGAATATCCCATCACATCACATACTTTTAAAATGGAAGCTGTTTTGGCTCCCCATTTATAGTAAATTCTCATTTGGAAGCTTCAGCTAACTCTAATAAAAATACTAACCTAAAAAATAAAATTACTAAAAGTGGAAGTATTTTGAAATTATGAATAAATTAACAGATTAATTCTTTTCAGTGCATACTAACACATGTATGAGTTTGACTTTCTGCTGTCTCCAGGATAAGCATCCCAGATGCTTTCCCACAGAAGGAACACTATTATTTGCTTAGCTCTCATTACAACAGCATTGCTAATCACCAGAACTATAAACAATGTTTACATAATAATTATTTGAATTAAAATTTCACAATAATTTAACATTCCTCCTATTTTTTCTGTTTCTCCCATCTGTATTTTGAAAAGCACTAAAAATAAATAGCGAGTGAATGTTGACAAACAGAAGGCAAAAGCCTGGCAGCCCTCTATAAAGCTAAGAGAAACATTCTATTAATAACCTACCTGGAGTCTTAGTCTTTATGTTTAGTCCCTATCCGCTGACATGGCTGCTGCTCATGTGGTGTTTTCATTAGGGCCAGAAGGATTAGCAGTAGACCATCTGTTCAGTCAGTGAGAAAAAACGTGATTGACAGGTGCCACTGACCTAAGACAGACATCTATATTTGATGATGCCTGCAGAGTATAACTACATTCTGAGTCGCTTCTTCCTTCAAGTTATAAATCAAATACATTCACTCTGAGGTGATAAAATGTGTTTCATGACTGTTACAGCCTGTTTCTCTGACATGTATTCAACCACTATGTGCCTGTGTTCCTCCTTTTCAACTTACTAAAACCTACGAAGTCATAGATCTAATCTCTAAACTGGCACGATGCTGAGGGGATGAGGCACTGCAGATATCTGGGGGCAGATAATCCTGTTTGTCTCCAGAACTGCGGAGGCACAGGAAGAGCTGGCAAGCTGCAGGAGGCCCTGACATTTGCCCATCAGTGTAAGGATGAGCCATCTCTGGGTTGTTGTCATTCAGCCCAATGCCTGGGACTTGGTTTTGTTTCATCGTTAAATAAAAGCGGTGCTTTTCCAAGAAAGGTCATTGTAAAATTGGATTCAGGAACAGAATTTTTATTTCTCGATGTGGAGGCAAGTTTTGCTCTACTTCAGGACTCACAGATACCATGCAGACAACTTTCAAGCAAAGGAGACCATCCAAAATGAATATGAAGAGGACATTACAACAGCACAGTGGATTTTCAAGGTAAGACAACATCCAGGGTTATCCAAATATCCTGAAGGAAGGGGAAAATGGTGTGTCTGGAAAGAAGCAGAAATAAAGTGTTAATGTAATGTATAACAGCCGTAGACTGTTTGTCACCAAGACATTGGTATTCATGTAGTTCTCCTTTATTCCTGAGCCTCATCCTCTGCCCTCTGTTCCTCATCATGTTGCAACCACAGTGACAAAGGAGGTGGTGATCCGCCTTCCTGTTAAATGTCTGCTTCCAAACAATTTATTAAATACATCCATCTAACTCATAAAAATGATTCATACTTTGTGGAGCTGATCTGTGGTTAAAAGGGTGAGGGAAAAGATGTTGCTTCATCATGGTTAGACACTGAAGAGATCTGCATTTTTTTACTGATTGGTAGTTAACAAAAGAAGATATCCCAAAGAAATCAAACACAGCATAATACTAAAATCTATTTGGATGTTACAGTAAATCCCCTTGGTGAACCTATAGAGCTGAACCATTTACCTTAATTAAAAACAACAGTCATGTATCCTTCAGATTTTGTTAAAAGCCTGAAAGCTGCCTGTGGGATGAACCCATGTTATGGCGAGCAGCGTGCTCCTGTGCAGCTCAACAGAGCAAGAGAGACGGGTGCAAGGAACTGTATCTTATTAAAACTTTGGTGCAGAATTGGTGCACCCCAGTGTGTGGTAGGGAAGAGAGCAGGATAGCAAAGTCACCCACTCTTGGAACCACAAAGTTTGGGATTTTTTCAGACTAACTTAGCACCAGAGTAGAGAGGGACTAAGGCAGCCAGTCAAGGTTGGCAGGATTGGTGAAAGGCAAGATGAGGGGAGAAGCCGTTCCCCATTCCACATCTGTCCTACAGACATTCAAGTTAAAGCAAGAATTGGCTTCTCCATCCCATCTCCTTAGCCAATGCACGTCTGTTTCCAGGAGACCATTTCATTTGAATTACAGGAATACACTCATCAGAAATCCTAAATGACTTTCACTGCTTTTGCTGAGAGGAAATACTCAGCCTGCTTTGCCACTATCAGGAAATGCTTTCTGATAATGAACCAAATATACACTCCTTTCAGAATTTCATGTCATTCTGTCTCATTATCTGTCCATTTAGCGCAAGAGCCTGGGGACTTCTTGGCCCTCTTGAAGGCAGAGGGGGTTTTGTGACAGGCACAATGGCTCCTGAATTTAACCCTTGATAGTCATAGCTTCTGAAACCCACATACTGAGATCTTCTCAGCTCATGTACCCAGTCATTTCTCATTTAGCCATCCTTTTATTCACTCTAGGTGAGTAGTTTTCAGCTCAGTGATCACTTTTGTGGCTCTTACATGAAAACGTAGTTTGTTGTCGAGTCTCTGAGAACATGCTGCACGGGACTGAGTCAGGGACCTCACAGTGGACAACTTATTATTTCTCTGCTCTGCAAAGGGATTTACCTACAGAGGCATCTAAATGACACTGCAGGGTTCAGGACCACTTACTCTCCACAATTCCTTAAAAACCAGTGCTGCCAACTTCCTTTCTCCCATTGGCTATCTGTCCCATTTGCTTTGTTCTGTGCCTGTATTTCTAAATGCTGCAGCTCTGCTGGTGTGGCTCTGGTAACAGGGACAGCCCAGGAGATGCTCTGCAACCCTTCATGAGCTCAGCTGAGGTGAAATTGCTGTCATACGGAAATTATTGTATGAGGCTACATGCTCTGGGGGAACATGTCTCCAGAACTTCATAATAAACCATTTCAGCAAATGATCCTTTCACATATGTAACATAAGCAATGTTACTAGTAGTTAATGAGTCTACAAGGACTGTGTTAATGATAGGGAGTTAGAAAACTTACCCGTCTAGAAATGTTTACAGTCCTTAGGCTGGGGAATTAAAATAAATTCCAAGTTTTACTTCACATAGGAAAGAAATACCTTTCTTTTTTACTGATAGGGAACCAAGGGACAGAGAGTTTACATGATTTCCTAGTACTTAGGAAATCAACTTGAAGTTTGTAATGTTCAAGACCAGATTGTTAGTTACGCTCCCAGAATAGACAAGGTCACATTAAAACTTTTTTTTTTTTTTTTCCTGGTAACATTGAAGCCTACAGAAAGTTCAGATTCTTTCTGGTAAAATGTTTATAGATGTGACACTGGTTGCTGTAGACATACTATGTTCTTAGACCCATAATTTGTGCAACTGACAGGGTCTTTGATCAGACTGATTGCCCCATCCTCATAAATTCCCATGTTCCCTTCCACCTTAGGTGAGGTTATGACGCTTTTTGACGCTTCTGAATGTGAACAGTAACTGCTTCTCAGAGCAAGTTGCCATCTAAATCAACATGACAAATAGTAAAAAAAGTTGAAATATTAAGTAAATTAGGATTAAAAAAAAATGCCAAACTCAAATCTTTTATCAGAACATTTGAATTAGGTTTATTTATCTTGAACAAGCTTTCAAAGAGACACTGAATTAGAAGAGAAATGTTTTTGAAAAGTGGTAGGCAGAGTTTAAAGGCCTTTTAAATTCTCTTCATGACATTTAAATTAACCGAGTTGTTTATTTCTAATCTCCATTTGCACTGCTTAAAAAGCCTTTCCCTCTGACATGTTTGCATCTTGATTTATAAAAGTATAATAAACTGCTTTTTACCAGTCTCAACACAAAGATGCAAGGACTTACTTAACCCAGAGCTAACACAGACACTCTCAATGAGCTTTTTGCAAGTTAACAAAATAAACACCCCAGAAACATTATACTGCACAGGGAGAGAGTGAGAGCTTGCAAATATATCACAGTTTTTTTTCCTAATGACAAAATTTGGCCAAAGTCCTGTTACACAGAGCTCGTTGCCATCACTTCTTCAGAAGAGAATGAGAATGTTCTCCACAGAGATATTACATTTTAGTTCATGTCCAGGTTACATTTGGACAGGACCTGTTTCACTTCTATAACATAATTACGATTTCTGTGTATACAGGCTCCAAACTTGGTTGGGTTTACCTGCAGACAACAGGTAACTGGGCAAGTGCAGATAGGACAGTAGTATCAGGGCTCTGAGGGCACTAATAAGTGTTAATGGCCCTGACCAGCCTCATCTGGGGCCTCCACCCTCACCCATGGACCCAGCAGCTATATTTAGGTTCAGCCCTGAGAGCCTGTTCCCTGCCTGCTCAAGCTATGCTGAAGAACTGCTGGTCTCCAGCTGAGTGACAGCCATGCCCCATTTGGTGATGATGGAGCCACCTAGTTGAGACCTTAACCCCCACCCCGAGCTGACTTTCTGTCTTGACCTTGGCTGTCCCTTGTCAGTGAGGGCTTGATTGTGGGGCCTGAGCCGAGGGGCTGGCTTCCACCTTGCTGGGATACTGCCTTATGATCTGGACCTTGCTTGGTTCATCTTCACCATGCTTTCTCAAGGCACGGAGCACAGAGATGAAGGAAAGCATGGTGTTAAGTGAGAAGATGTGTGCCAAGGAAAGGCAGAGAGCAAGTATTAAGCCTCCTTAAACATCAGGCTGAGGCCTAATGATAACCTGGTTATACCATCATTGCCTTTCTGCTTGCTAAGTCCCATCCATTGGAGTGCTGTGTGTGAGACCAGGCAGAAATAGAAATAGCCACAAGCATGCAGCCTGGAGGGGCAGCCCAGGGAAGTATGGAATCCTTTATCCTTCATCTAACTAATCTCAGCTCTGCAGAAATACTTTGGGTTTGGAGATGTCAAATGTTATTCCATGACCTGTGTGTAATGGAAAAGTTGCTTGTGACCATGCACAGCTCATCTAAATTATTCAGTAACTGCTATGAATAATGATTTGTTTGATAAAATAGGATCCATTCACAAACAACTCCAGAAAGGTCAAAAGTCATAAAAGATATTATCTGATAAAGGATGATATGCTAACTGAATAGTTGCACTGCTTTGCCAAGCGGTCTAGTGTCTTGAGGTGATGAGTGCTGTCAGTCATTAATTACTGTTAACAGTCCTTCTGAAGTCAGGCATTGTCTTTATCTTTTATAAGAGTAGGAAAGTCCTGATAATAGTAAATATACTCACCCTCTTCAATCAATATAATCTCTCCCAAATACATTTTCATGTCATTTTTTATTTGGTGAAGTCTATTTTTCATACTTAGTCACAGTAGCATTTGTGTGTCTTAAAGCTTGTGATTGTGTCATAGGGTGTTAGGAACAAACCAAGCAGTTACTTATACCAAGAGCACATTCTTTCTGTTCTTTTGAACAGGTGTTGTGCTTAGCTAAATAGGCTGAAACCTAGTTTAAAAGTCACATTTCATCTATTTCTTATGTTTGAGATGGGCATGTGATCCAAACTGTGGATTGAATCACTTGGCAGCTAACATTCTTCGTCTTTGCCAAAATAGTTATTCTTACACAGCAGATGTAAAATTTGAGAGATGTTTGATGCTCTGTTTTATTCAGGAGCAATGTTTTAAAGGGAAATGGGATTCTAGGAGAGAAATAGGAGTATTACAGTGTATTTAAGATCACCAAATTATGAGCACCTAGTCTTACTGACAACTTCTTTAATAATACAATATACTTTTAGGTAAAGAAAAGAGTGGGTGTTTTGCTGTATAGGTATAAATTAAGATAATGAGGTAAAGTCATATGCAGTTGGTTTTAAAGGTAAGCAAAATTATTTCTAGGACAAGCTGGAGAACATTATCTTCCTGTGGTCTTCTGTGCTGGTTATTTTTTTTATTTTGACATGTATCCTTTATAACTAGGGTTTATCTTGTCCCTGAGGTGTTTTTACTAAGAAAGGGCTACTCCTGCGTATTTTTACAGAGTGTATCAATTTTAAAGCATCAATTCTTTTGAGACGTACATTGTCCAGCAAAATACTGGTGCGCGTCTTGTCAGCAGACCTATTAGAAGGATTAAGGTCTGTCAGCCCCCAACCCTGAAAGAGGGGTCAGGTAAAAGTGGTTTCTCTTGTTTGTAAGAGAATTCCTCCAAGAAAATTCTTGCTTTGTTAATT